GTCAAACAGACTTATGAAGTCTTCTCCATTTAACATTTATAGCAATATGATATAAAATATATGTATGAGCATGCATGTACAGAATGGTATATCTATATAATATATATATATATATATATATATATATATATATATAGATTGCCTAACAATGTAATTTTAACACACTATTAAGTATGTAAATATAAGAATGTTTAAAATATTTACAAATGATGAAAATAAACGCAATATTTCGCTAGACTAACTAGCTTTATCAAGCGTGCATCTATCCAGGTGAAATCGGATGTAGATGATAAGAAACTTTTGCAGCTCAATGTATATGTTGCACTTGAATTTAGCTGCCTTGAAAATAATACATAATTTGGATGAAGTTCAAGATTTTTACAAAATTGGTAGTTGAAGTTAGCAACGTCCATTGGCCAATATTACAGGATAAAAAAGACGATGCTGTGTACTTAATTATTCTTTATCTTTCCTGTATCTTTTCTCATCTTTTTCGTTAAGACAATCAGGTTCTAAAGTGTGGAGTTGGTTGATCCAAAAATTTTCTCTTCTCCTTCTCGCCGTGGTGTCCCACTCGGTGTTGACTTCACGGCGAGAAGGAGAAGAGAAAATTTTTGGATCCACCAACTCCACACTTTAGAACCTGATGGTCTAAATTCAAGTGCAACATATACATTGAGCTGCAAAAGTTTCTTATCATCTACATCTGATTTCACCTGGATAGATGCACGCTTGATAAAGCTAGTTAGTCTAGCGAAATATTGCGTTTATTTTCATCATTTTGTAAATATTTTAAACATTCTTATATTTACATACTAAATAGTGTGTTAAAATTACATTGTTAGGCAATCTATAATTTTATTTGTGTATTAATCCACACTCCAATAGATTTGTATGTCATGTGCTGCTATTTATAGGCACTTATATATATATATATCAAAAGACAGAAAAGTGAAGACAGAAAGAAAACAATAATACAGAAAAAATAAATATATAAAAATAAATAAATGAATATTTAGAAAACAAAAACAAAAAATAAAATACAAATTAAACAAACAAAAATACAAAAAAAAAAACAAAGAAAGACTTTTACTTAGATGATGATGTGTGTGCGATCATGGTTTGCTATCTAGACAATAATTAAGAAATCTTTCCGAACTTTTAATAAACTCGAAGACATTTCTGAAAATGGTTTGGTTTTGCTCAAGAGAAAGAAGATAACTACCCGAGGTTAGTAGTTCTTTGTTTATTTTACAATCTTTTGGAAGCCAGCGCAGACTTTCAAACATTTTATTTCGTATGTCTGAATTAATATACATTTAAAAAAGAAATGATAGGAATCTTCACGATTAACACCACATCGGCAAGAAGGGTCAGAAATAATATTGACCCTATATATAGATCATAGTTTAAGGATGATGCAAAACATCGAAGTTGGGTTATAATAATATTCAGTTTTCGAATTCCAAACTCATATCGCTTCGGTACAAATATGTTACTCTGAGGGTAAAGTTTTTTTAGTTCAGTTTTAAATTTATTTATTGATTCCGCATCACGAATTGAATCATCAAGATTATTCCAAAGACGTATGGTTGATGGAATAAATGAATCATTAGTCAATGCTAGTCTGCAGAATGGAATAATGATGTCATTTCCATTGCGTAGAGGATAGACCGTCATACTTTAGATTTTTGGGGGAATTAAATTTGTCAAATATTCTAGAACATTTTTTTTTTAATATTATAAAACATTTGAATTTTTCTTCTCTCTCTTCTTTGAGCTAATGTTTCCCATCCAAGTTCTTCATAAATAACCCTTGAGCTTGTGAATATAGGTAACCCCGTAACTATTCTAGCAGCTAGGAGCTGTAATTGCTACAGTTTATTGATATAACCTACCCCAATATTATCCCAAACTTCACTGGCATACTCAAATAAAGGTCTTATAAAAACTAAATAGAGTTTTTCTAAAATTTTTCTGCTCAGTTTATATTTCATCTTCTTTAGCATATTTATATGTTTAGATGTGCTTAAGATAATATTATCAACGTGGACATTCCATTTAGCATCATTGCTAAATGTAACCCCTAAATGTTCATGAATATTTGTGATAGGTATATTTTTATCATTGAATGTAAAGTTCATTTCTGGGATTTCAACATTAGAAAATAACATAAGTTCTGTTTTATCTGGATTAAAAGACATTAACGATTTTTTGGACAATTCGTTCAGCTTTTCCAGATCATGGTTTATCACAGTTTCTATCTGCAATGCATCAAGATCCGCACAGCTGAACGACGTGTCATCTGCAAAGAGTCTGCACAGAGAAATAAGTCTTTCTGCAATATCATTAATATATATTATAAAAAGTAACGGTCCAAGGACCGACCCTTGAGGGACTCCAGCTGAAATACTGCAAAGTTTTGAAGAAGATTGCTTGATAACCACTCTTTGTTTTCTATCGCTTAGGTAGCTTCTAAACCATTTTAACAGATTTCCATTTATACCATAAGCCTTCATTTTATGTAATAAACCATCATGCCAAACTTTATCAAAGGCTTTGGAGAAATCGCAAAAAACAAAACAACTTATCTCTTTCTTTTCAAGTGAGTTCAATATGCAATTATATATTTCTAACAGTTGGTGAACCGTTGAACATTTAGGAAGAAAACCCAATTGATACTCATAAATTAACTTATTTCTTTGTAAGTGGTTGTAAACATATTTATATATAACACGTTCCATGACTTTGCCTATGCAACTAATGAGTGATATAGGTCTAAATTGGAAGGTAATGAACTATCCCCCTTTTTAAATAAGCCTATAACATTTGCAATTTTCCAGCTGGATGGATACTTGCACTGCTGCAAGGATTTATTAAATATTATACATAATGGAATTGCAATTTTTTCGGGACAAAGTTTAAGCATCTTATGACTATTGACATCCGGGCCCGACGCTTTTTTTTATGATTTATAGTTTTTATAATGTCAACAATTTCACTAGTACTAATCGCTATATCATTCAATAAATTGTTAGTTTTTATGTCGAAATCGGGTAATTGAGCATCAACTTCTGCCAGCGATGAAATAAAACAAAAATACTTATTAAGAATGTCGCATTTCTCGTCGTCTCCATCGGCGAACTCCTCCGGAAACGTTCATCATTAAGAATATTTTTTAATGGGGGTATGTTATTAGAACCTCTATTTGCCTTAATCAGCATCTTCATAATTTTCCAATAAGTCTTAGAATCGGAAGCGTTATCTAGTATAATATTTTCTAAGTTTTTCTCAAAATTTTCTTTCGCTTCTTTCTTCATATTAATCACTTTATTCCTTTGTTTCTTATATTTATTAATATCCGTTTCTTTTTTAGATTTAATTGATTTTTTTCGTAACGTAGAAACGTTATATTCTAATATAACGTGCTTCTTTCGCTTTGTAAACAACACCGTGATCAAATTCTCGATATATCTATACTAGTACTTAGCGCAGAGTCTGACTCAGATATACATAATAATTACTGTTATTATATACCTCCCACGTAAATCCGCCATGTATCGTAACCTGTTTGCAAACGCTATGCCGATTTTGTTGTGTTAAAAATTGTAATTGAAAAAAAGACTAAAGAACCTCTTATTCTGATGCATAACAAAAAGAATTAATGCATTAGAGCTCGGAGAAATGTACAAAATCTAAATCAAATAAAATTCCGCGAAAGTCCATTAATGCTTTTGGCGCATTAAAGTCATTTCAAAACATGACGTCATACAAATGAAAACGCTAAAGCTGAAGGTTTTTCCGTTACGTGAACCATTAAAATTCGGATAATATTTCATTAAAATGGAGTTTTGAGGTAGGTGTTGTTTTATTTTCTATTCTATTGCATTATTCGCACATCTGCTGATTTCAGCAAGTCAACATGGCGGCTCCTTAGTTACGAAATGTCAACTGTGGATTTGATGGTAGCTTACGAGAAAAAAATGTAAATTAAAAATAACAAACGTTGGGGTTTAGAATTAAACGAATTAAACACATTTTTTTAAAGCGGTTATTTAAGAAATAATTCATGCAAGCTATAAATTTATTGGAATTTTTTTAGCTTTATCTAACAGGGGGTAAAAAAGAACTGCCACACACACGGCATACCAGGTTCAACCCACCATTTTTTTCTTAAAATGTCCTGTACCAAGTCAAGAAAATGGCCATTGTTATATTATAGTTCGTTTCTGTGTGTGTTACATTTTAATGTTGTGTTTTTGTTGTGTCGTTGTTCTCCTCTTATATTTGATGCGTTTCCCTCAGTTTTAGTTTGTAACCCGGATTTGTTTTTATCTCTATCGATTTATGAGTTTCGAACAGCGGTATACTACTGTTGCCTTTATATACCCACCCTCGCTTCAGTTTTTAAATTACCGTTTTTGTCCTATTAGAATCGAAATAATTCATGGAAGCCATAGATTTGTTGGAAATTTACGTGTACATGTCCTGGGCCGTGATATTCGTTAATTTTATCCCTCGCTAACGCTCAGGATAAAATTCGAATATCACGGCCCTGGCCATGTGTAAATTTCCAACAAATATATGGCTTCCATGAATTATTTTTTAATTTTCATATTGCATTCAAATGAAAAATATTGAATTTTACACCATATGCGATTCCAAAAGCTTTTAATTTTGATGAATTAATCAATTGTTTAACTTATCTTATTGATTGTACATCATGATTATTTAGAACAAATTACCTGCTTCAGTATTCAAAGGAAACTATTTGTTTTCCGGTCCAATTTAATGATTATTAAAGAGTTGATGATACAGTATCTGTTTATAACCGTATCTTTACTTAAATATTTAAAACACATTTCAACGTAAACATCGCAAGGATCACCAAATATATTTCTTTTTAACTCATCTGTAAAGATTTTTATGTTTTCAGCTATTGAATGTTATTTGACTGATGAGGTTGTTTGATATATATTTTCGGAAAGGTTCAGAGGAATAACATGGAACTGAGATCATCCTTCAAACTTGGTGTTATCGTTTTTAGTTTTCTGTTCACTTTACATAAAAGTGTATGTCAGTCATCAAGCAGCGTGAAGAATCTTTTCAATGACATTTTTGATGTAAGGCAATACGACAAGAGAATTCGACCTGTCATGAACCATTCAAGACCGATCCATCTTGAAGTTTCATTTTTTATTTTAGGAATTAACTCCGTTGATGATAAAAACGGACTGCTTTCAACAACTTTAGACACTGGTATACAGTGGACTGATGAATTCTTGATGTGGAATCCTTGTTTGTTTGGCAATATAACAAGAATAAATGTTCCGCAAAATGATATATGGAAACCAGATTTTGTGCTGAGAAATGGTGTCTCGAAAAGTAATGAAGCAAAACTTCTTTTCAGTTATGTATCCGTCGAGTATACTGGAAGGATAACGTGGTGGCCCTACCAGTTTCATGAAACAAGTTGTGAAATCAACATAGTCTATTTCCCATTCGATGAACAAACATGCAACTTGACATTTATTATCTGGAGTCATTCAGTTAACGAAATTATAATAAAAGGAAAATATGTAGAAAAATACCTATTTTCGGAGAACAGCCTTTGGTCTGTAGACAACTCACATATGTTCGAAGATGCGGATTATGTGGATGGTAGCAATTATTCAACAATAACACTAACTTTTCATATGACAAGGAAAGCAAACTTCTATTTTTGGAGTATTATTTTTCCTCTCGTGTCACTTTCAGTATTACAGACTATTGTATTTCTTGTTCCTGCTAGAAGTGGTGAAAAGTTGTCGTTTGCATTCACACTCTTCCTAACGTATATAATGTTTCTTATACTTATGACATCCATGTTACCTGAAAACTCCGAGCATTTATCGATATTATGTATATATATAGACATTGAACTGACATTGGGGATTATCACCATTGTAGTGGTATGCATGCAGGTTCAACTGTGTTACCATGATCCTGATATACCCGTGTCAAAATGGCAGAAAAAGCTCATTAGGGTAATCATTTCGAGATGTCAAACACCGGGAATTGCGGATATTACAACTATAACTCAGTTACAGATACAAAACACTTTGATCTTATTTATAAATAGATTTACATTGTTCTGTTTATTATCCTTCCAATTGGTAACAGCAATTGTTATTGTGATTATAGTATATTTTAAATGATTTTTTTTTTCATGATATCATGATGCAATTAATTTTGCATTGTATATGCATAACCTTTATAATGTATAATTTTACACGAATAAAACTTTCATAGTTAATGTTATATATAACTTCAGAAAACATAATTCACATACCAATACCCTGTACATTATAAATCGGAATTCACGATATTGAGGCCATATCTTTGCTCACTCAATCTAGCCAAACAAAAAATGATTTCCATTCAATATTAGGAGTCGACAGTAGTGTACCGAAATAAAAAAAAATTGTATATCTATTTTGAATGAACAAACCTCAGTGAACTTGCATTCCAAACGGAGCAAGACTGGTTGTACATGCATCACCCACCATCAATCCAGACCCACTCTTGAATGATACGATAGGAAATAGAACCAGATCGGTTTTGGACAACTTTCGTTCTGTTTTAAGGTCTAAGACCGCGCTCAATGTCGCTCGTGATCTGAGACACAGACTCGTCGTATCGGACAACTAATTAATAAAAGCGACCGTAAAACTTGTAAAACTTGCGTTGTGTTGATTTTAGTCGTTCTTCATCATAACCTTGCATTTGACGTTTTTTTTTGTTAGGATCACACTTCTGTTGATGTAGTAGATATGATATAAACATCCACGTGCGTAATGTGTCAAATGAAGCATGTTAAAGCTACAACTGAGAAATGAAAAGTTGACAATTAGGGAACTGAAATCGTCACGTTTGTAAATGATCGGTCCTAGTTCCTGTGTCAATTTCAGGAAAAATATCCAAATAGTAAACATACCTTTTACTTTCTGTTGTTTCACTAAATTTGATGTCAAGTTTATTATGATATACATTTGGAATGAAACTCAAGCATTTACATTTACGATAATATTTTGAGGATCATATTGGATTCGGTGTTTTTGTTGTTTGAATCAGAAATTTTTCATAAATTTATGGTTATACTGTAACCTAGAACAAGAAAGATGTGTCTCATTTTGTGGAAACGGCTGTTTAAAAAGAAGATGTTGTAATGAGCATAAGGAAAAGTGTCGAATGTGAAAAAAATGGTATTATTGTAACATTGTTTTGATAGTGATTGGAGATTTTGGAGAAGATAAAAAAAAATTAAGGGTCACATCTGATTGACACCGCTTGTTGAGTATACCTCATCAACATACTTTTAAAGATAATCGACATCTGATGTAGTGAAATATGTACGTTTTGCTGTGGTTTAATACGACTGCCTCGATACCAATGCTAGTGGACTGATCGAGTCTTCGATGGTATTATTCGCACCGCTGTCAAATATAAATGAATGCTACCGATTTCAGTTTTTTTTCTAGAATAACCTCTATATGTCATTGTTCGGCAGTGTGCGGCCAAGATTAATCGTGAACATCATGTTGATAATTATTCGACGACCAAAAAAAATTGCTGACGTTTCACAGTTTTAGGTTGCAACAATTTCCGACAATGTTATTAGACGGAATTGGCTATTATTTTAGATAACTTTTCGTTACAGCCAAAAATGCATTTATAGAAGGCTCTGAGCGTTCCTGGTTACGGTAAAACAGATCGTACAAGGCGGTGGTTTCTCAATGTATTACCTTTAAGTTGATACCACTGCTGGAATGAACTAGTTATTCTTCCCTTAGTTTTTTTATTTTGTATTTGCATTGTATCATAGATCAATTTCTTGTTCAGTGTATGTTCACTGGTGTTAATAAGTCTTTTGATTGAGTTAAGCCATTTCAATTAGTATTTTATAGTGTGTCTTTCTATGTTGTGATGTTACACTATTGTTTCAGATAAGGGCAAAGGTTTGGTACCATTAAAACGTTTAAACCCGCTGCAATTGTTTGCACCTGTCCTAAGTCAGGAATCTGATGTTCAGTAGTTGTCGTTTGTTGATGTGGTTCATAAGTGTTTCTCGTTTCTAGTTTTTTTATATAGATTAGACCGTTGGTTTTCCCGTTTGAATGGTTTTACACAAGTAATTTTGGGGGCCCTTTATAGCTTGCTGTTCGATGTGAGCCAAGGCTCCGTGTTGAAGACCGTACTTTGACCTATAATGGTTTACTTTTATAAATTTTGACTTGGATGGAGAGTTGTCTCATTGGCACTCATATCACAACTTATATCTATAGTAAGCCCTTTTCAAATGATTTTTATGGTTTATTCTTATGTTGTGCTGTTAATTTTCTCGTTTGAATTCTTTTATGCAGTATGAATTTTGCTCATTGTTGAAGGCCGTTGGTGACCTATAGTTGCTATCTACTACGTCATTTAGTCTCTGGTAGAGAGTAGTCTCATTGGCGACCATATACCACATCTTCTTGTTTTTATAATGAATTTATACTTAACAACAAATTCAAGTATTTTAATTGTTCCAACTTCATCAATGTGTATAATCTTTCTGTCAAAATGAACATTAAATACTGCAGAAATAATTATTTACAATAAACTGTGAAAAATCTAAAAGTCTAAGCACTTTAAACCGCCTGAACTATAAATCAGCTTCACATTCTTAAGTTAGGGAATTTTATGAATTGAAAGACACATAAAGGTCAAAGTACGTTTTTTCTACGAAAGACAAGTGTCTTTAGAATATATCAAACTCCCAATCGTCCTGAACTTACATAAGTTGTGAATAAAAAAAATAGAACTCAAGGATCGCCATCAACACAAGACTCCACGAAGTTAATAATGAATATATTTCTTGCACATCAGCATTTGATTTTTTCTGATATATTTCGCATTTGGCGTCTTGATTAAATGTTCTTTATAATATCTTTAAATCTGAAGTAAGTGAAATTATAATGTAAGTAAGTAGGTCTGGTTTTCATATACACAATCAACATGGAACTTGAGCACCCCCCCCCCCCCCCCAAACCACCACCACCTTCCACACACAAACACATTAAAAGCATAAGATATCAATACAGACAAAGCACATGCAATGTAAACATGGTAAAGAGCAGATAAGCATATTCACATAAAACAAATACAAGCAATATAAGCAACTAAAGCACAGTTTAAGCATAAGCAAAATAATACAGCTTATGGGTTATAGATAAAGAAAGCAATTATTATATATCAAGCTTAAAAATTAAATAAAGATGAATAAAGATAAACAAAACTCAAGCAGGCTGTTTTAAATGGGTATATGTTGTGTTACTGTCGCTTGGTCTAGTCACGTAGCTCTTTGTAGACTGCAAATTCAATAGGGTAGCAATAGCCTTGTATTCAGTGTTATTATTCTAATGTTAATACTTGGTTTTTTAATAGTTATATTAGATACGGTATCTTTCCATTTTTCACAACTGGTGGTAGACAGCAAGTCCCTGATGATATACTGACTAGTCGAAATAGGCACGATTGAATGTCTCCCACCCCTTCATCACTCTTTTCCGTGGTTCTATGGTAAATCGTTAAGCTTTAAAAATTGCGACAAGAAGTATATCCATTACTCTTTGTTTTAGCAAGGATTTCTATAGTAGGATTTCTATAGTAGAAATTCTTGATTTTTTGTAAGCCTGTTACCTTCAAGTTGTTAGCATATTAAGGCCGATACTAATTTTTAGGTGCTCAAAAAGACACTATATTGTTATTTGAGTCTTAGATACATGATTTTTTGTATTCGCTGTTATTGGGTTAGTATTAACTATCAGCAATTGTCAGTACTCTCAGATCTGTACTTTTTGTCTATTTTTGTTTGTTTTTAGCGATATATAGATACCCTGCCACGTCCGGTTTGTGTTTTTTTTAGATGTTTTTTTCTGCTTTGTATCGTTCATCGAGATACCGTTTAAGGAAAACGTGGCCTCATTTGGGCGCAGGAACTCATCACAACCGTCCAATCAGAACAGAGGGTTTTCGAATACAATTCGAAGAATGAGTAATTGTTCCTCATGAACGCCCCACTCTATTTGGTCATCGAGAGACCGATGACTCACATCTGATACGTAGGAGCCTTACAACCCTATTTGGTCGTGCAGTGTCTACCTGGCGTCAAATTATTCACTCCAGGACGTGTCGGCATTGTAGGTACGTTCATTAAACAAAGTATGACTCCCTATTTGGAAAATTCAAATTAAAAAAATTCACAAATTCAAAAATGAAAAATGAAAAATATTCTTAAAAAAAATCAAAAATTAAAAAAAAATCTAAAAATTCGATAATTAAAAAATTAAAAAAAAAAATCAAATGTTTAAAAATCCAAAAAAATAAATAAAAAAAAAAATCGAAAAAAAATCATTGTATCTATAAGAATGCCGAAGCAAAACTTGTAAATAAACAATGGATGAATTTTACCTTTACGTATCGAGCGAAGATTCTCTCCGCGTCGACATAGGTTGCAACTGAACAGGGTGGTAAGGCTCCCACGTATCAGATGTGAGTCATCGGTCTCTCGATGACCAAATAGAGTCGGGTGTTCATGAGGAACAATTACTCATTCTTCAAATTGTATTCGAAAACCCTCTGTTCTGATTGCACGGTTGTGATGAGTTCCTGTGCCCAAATGAGGCCACGTTTTCCTTAAATGGTATCTCGATTAACGATTCCAGCGTCAACTCTTTCCATTAACGTCATTTCTGGTTATTACCTTATCAGGATGGGGAAGGGGGAAATATCGAAAAGGTTAAAGGGGCGGGTCTGTTCAAAGATGGTTCAGCCATAACGCCACGGGTTTTTGGGGGACTATAAATGGTCATATACTACTACTGAAACCTAAAGCAGATTAACCGGAAACTTAAGCAGAGTTTTCGGTGGCAATGGGTGCGATTAACAGTGTCCAAGGTCAGGCGCGGATCCAGCCATTTTGAAAATGTGGGTTCCAACCCTCGGAACCCCCTGGATGCCCCAATAAAGGTGTGTGTATTCAATGATGAAATGTCTTTGGAATGGATAAAGTTTACCCTACACATTTATCCAAACGACTTATTAGAAAAATAGAATTGAATATTTTTTAGCAATAAATTCTATTTTTACAGATTTCATTTTTGTAATTCTTTGAACTTCCAATCACAAAGTAAGCATAATCAACTCCTTCTGAAATTATATAGTGTTTGAGCGAGTCGGCTAAATTGATTCTATATGATGAAAATGAATAAGATTCCTACTATAAAAATGCATCGCATATACAATAGAAATAAATCGCCCCTACAGTGATAATGAAAGTATTGTATCATTATTCGACAGTAAACATGAATCGCTTAACGAAAGCATCATACTGGCATTTTAACTCAATATCAACAAACTGAATAACTAAACCTGTTTTAAGGTATACAATATATATGGTTGTGTTCAAAGATATATTTTCCTGAAAATAAAACTTAACAGCTGCTTTTAAATCTACTGCACGCTCTGTTCGAGAAATATTCTTAATATTTACCTATTTGTGTATCAATTTAGCACCTGGATTGCTGTAGGCGCGATACTGAGAAACACGTCTGCATCTCTTACTTGTATGCTGATTTTTTTTTTATAACAAAACATTTGATATATCATTTCTTATTTTATTCAAAATTCATCAATTTGTCGTCTGTTTATTTATCATTCTACATCAGAAATACATGACAAATACAGTAAAAATGGTATTTCAGGATTCGCATGTTATCTACACTGACTATAAAATCTAACAGCCAGGCAGGTTATTCTACTGGTCCACTGAGACCCAATTTCACTGACGGCTAGAAATGTTTGCATATATTGAATTCTTAAGTTGTCTTTGTCAGATACAAAATGTCCAAAAGAAATGATAAAATGTCCAAATTTTGGGAGAAAATAAATAGGGAACTCCATAAAATTTGACGAAGTTGAATTTCAAGATTATATATAAATTTTCTCCGGTGTCCCACACAAAGCAAAGGTGTAAAGTTAAGAATTGTGCAACAAAACATCAGTTCAGCGATACAGGCCTAACCTATATGTATGATTATGTGTTTCGTGTCAACCCCTATAGCAAATTTTAAAAGTTTTCAAATTAAACACTTCCGCCCGCCATGAGCCATTAAATATTCTTTTTGTATAAATGTAGTTAATTATTAGGCCGTTAATTAGTTTTCTCAATTGAATTGTTTCATATTTTACATGTCGGGGCTTTTTTATAACCGACTATACGGTATGGGTTTTCTATTGTTGAAGGCCGTACGGTTGCCTAAAATTGCTTACATCCACTTCATTTGAACTTTGGTGGACAGTTGTCTCGTTGTCAATCATACAACATCTCCTTCTTTTTATACTAGCATCTTAGATGTTTAGATTTTTTTATTGTGAGAAGAATCAACAGATAAAATGATTATAAATTAGTGGATTTTGGAAATATATAGACGTACGTACAAGACCAGTAGTAGTTCTCAGTCGAATGTATAGTATTCCATTTCTGTAAATTGCATTTTTTAAAATCTATTTTATATTATACTCAAATCTATATTGTTTTAAAAATAAAAGGTAAGAAATATCGAGTAATTTCATGGATCAAGTTTGTCCAAGTTTGAGATTGTTGCTTCGCGTCACTACACAACGCCTTGGTCCCTGAATCCTAAGGGACGGATTGGTCCCTAATTGTAAGGGACGAGTTGTGACACTTCCGGAAGATCAAGGACATTAACTCTGAAAATTCCGAGCAATGGGAAATCGCAAGGAAAGTGGGGATATTCACAGATCAAGTAAATGAAAACGCTAACGAAACTGTAAAGGTATGCTTTCACGTTTTGTTTTTGTGTCAAGTATTTTATATCACAAAAATAAATTTCACTTTGATAAAACAGCACAAATCTTCAGGACAGGCTTTGTTCTTGAACTGCTTCCCTACCTGTAGATCGTGTACAAAATTATATGTCTCTGTATAAATTTCGTTTTTTTTTAATTTTTTGTACTTAGATTTTTTAAACGTCAGCTGGAATCATTCTTGAATTGGACAGTCATTATCAAGAATGATATGATTTTGTCCTGACAATTATCATGTCAATGAAATTGTGCCATGCAGAATAAAGTAAATGTAGCAAGACATTCTTTTGTCTGTTCTTTAACCATTTTAATTTTAAAAAATATCATTGATTGTGATGAGGGACAGCTGTCACTACTTACACATACAGCCATTAAACTTGCAATGTGTAAATCGATGCAGGACGCGACGTCCATACTGCCACGTAGTCCATAGGATGTATCGTCCATACCTTGAAAATATGTATCAGCCATAGGACAACATTGTCCATACTTTGTGAAGACCTGTAGTCTATCGTTATTTTTATTTTATTTATACAGTATTATGATCCTAAATATATTATGCTGTAGTAACATTATTTGCCATGTTTTTATATGTTATACACAGTTGCCATCATATATATCATATATAAATTTGCTTTATCTAATAAAATATTTATATTATTTTCTAAATGAATTTTTAATTACTTGCTTAAAACAAACTGAAAAAATAAAACAAATGAAAATGAATATCCAAAATGGGAGATTAATTTCTGTCATAGTTAAAACAGTAAGTTTAGTTTGGAAGTATAAAACTAAGTAATCAAATAATGATTAATTTTAAAATTTAAGAAGATTATTAATTGCTTATTATCATTTCTTTGATGATCAAGTATTAATTATGCTTTTGTCAAGAAATTGTAAAGGAAATACAAAACGAGATCACTATAAAAACAACAGCACCAAAGCTGAGTTCCAGCAGAGACAAACATACTGATTTGGTAGAGAAATTCTCTGTTCTTACGAGAATAAAATATGGTATGCAGTACTGCACAGGAATATGCTGTTTAGTTTCTACTCTCTGTTAAAAAGCTGTAAATCAATTTTCAAAGTCATAGTAGGGATGAATTATCAATAGCATTAACTTAAAACCAGTCTTCTATGAGTCTTCTTGTCTTGTTGAACAGCAGATGTACAGAAGTAAAAATAGATATATAGTCGACATCTATACTGACACTTCAGTCAAACCCGCAAACTTGTACATAATGAATACTACAAAATCATATTTATGTTATAACTATGAAAAAATACCTGTTGTATTATTATATTTTATGTTATAACCACAATGGAAAAAAATACTTAAAAGTATGGACGATACATCTTTACAAGGTATGGACGGTGCGACGGTATGGCCGACACATCCTATGGACGACGTGGAAGTATGGCTGTCGCGTCCCGAAAGTGTGTAAATAGGTTTTATTTATTTAACAGAAAAATTGTTAAATGCAGCTCAGGTACAAAGTATATGTACATGTATCCCCAATTAGCTACAAGAAGACTAATATAATGTCCTGATTAAGCAACAAGAAAAGAAATTTGACATCAAATGGAAAATATAATTGTTACTTAAAAATAGCAGTCATGGCAATTTTGGTAAGACCATGTTTCATATATATTTTTCACTAAAAACAATACTGGAAAACCTGAACATGATTGTTTATGTTACAATTAATATATATAGAAAATCAGTGCAAAATTTTAATAGCAACACAATTTGAAACTTTATAAAACAATTAATCATTCACTTTTTTAAATAAATTTATTGTTGATGCTAAATTTGTCTTCTTGCTGATAATGAGTGAGACTGGTTAAGTCTGTTACATTAAAATATTTTTTTATCATAATGGCCTGTCAAGTTTCATGACTTAGGCGTGAACTACACGATTTTGACCCCCTGTCACAATTACACTATTGTGATCGTGAAAAAAGCTCTTAAACACGATTTTGTGAAATCTACTTGAAAAAATGATTGTTCCTGATTTTGAACTTTTCCCAAGGGAAGACAATTGTGATCAGCCAATCAAAATCGTTGTTTTTCATGATCATTGGGCATTGCAAACATGCTAAATTTTTAACTTGTTTGGAATATTTGAGTTGTATTCCTCTGTCTGTATGTCAGAATTATGAAAATTGTGATCATGGCAGATGAATTTTCATCTGCTAGAAGGTTCTTACACAGGTTAAGAAGAAAAGATGGCTGATTAACAAAATTCAAAGATGCAGTACTACCATAAACATAATAAATAGTAGCTTATGGACATTACACTTATTGTAACAGATCATACAGTGTTGTCATTCTTGTAAAGTTATTTAAAGTACAATGTACTATCTTTTATTTTTCACAAGGAATCAGATAAATGTCCTTCTTTGTGCATATTTTTAAATTGGAAAAGTCAACAATCACTTTGAATATTCCTACACAAGAAAATAATATATACTAGTATTCTAACTACATGTTCATCTTTTCTTCACAATAATTTAAGTACTAGAATCATGCAAATAAAGATAAGAAAAAGGCTTATAAGGTCATCATCAGTATATATACCATATAAAAAAAAGATATGACACTTTTTTTTATAGCACAAAACAGCGCGTGCAAAAGACACTGCAAAAATTGTAACCTTTGAAATTGTCGTCACGCACTTAAACCCCATTGGGATTTTCAAAAGTTGGCAGGTATGAATGACTTTAGTAAATTATCAGTTACAAAAACCAGCATGTAGAATGTAGAAAGAAAACATATCTATTATGTAGACATTTATGTGTATTGTCAGGGAAATCTGGTTATTATATTTGTTCTTCTTTTCAATCCTGTCATCAAACAAAAATGGACAGGCATTAATTTCGATATTCTTTAACTTTCTGTTGGAAGGTGTTAATAAAAAAAAATCAAGTTTTGGTATGACCATGAAAAATTAAGAGTTAAAAAAATTATTTAAACTTAATGAAATATTTTGTAAGATTAAAGTTCCCATTAATATTGTTTTCTTAGATGAGGAGTGATCCTGTTTCCTTTCACATGTTTTGTCCTTTCTAAGTTTATTTATTTAGCCATCCAGTTGTGGAATCATATTCCACATTAAGGGACCAAACATACAGGTTGTGTGAATCATAAGGAGACCTTTGAAGGTGTCCTGTTCTAGACAACTCTATCGGTTTAAAAAATAATATGCTTCAATATGTCTTATACATGCATGTGCAAAGATGTTCATGTGGGTAAAATTTTTGTTGGTGAAGGTTCATACATTGTATATCTTATTTTGCCCAACATGTACATGATGTATGATTTACAAAATGTACATTTGTAGGATCAAATAGATCAATTTTGACATAACAGAGACATTACAAAGTCTGCTCTAAAGTGAACAGATTATCACCCCATTCATTAATTAATAAAATAAACAAAATTTTGAAAGACTTTAAATTTAATACATTTTTCCCATTTCAGTGACCAGGAAGAAATAATTGTATTGACTCTTATACCACCTTCTTTCTCAATGATATATTTCTGACTTTAGATTATAACCTATTTTGTAAACCTGCTAAACTATAGATTTGATTTTGAGTGTTGTCCAGTGAAATGAGATTTTTTAAGACTCTCCACTTGACAATACTCTCAGATAAAATATAAAATATATAGAATCAGAAAAAAGGATGTCTGCTCCCTTGGATGTCACTATTCTATTTCAGGATTGATGAATTACCTTATCGAAATGTTAAATTGTCCATAAAGAATTGTAACAATTGAAAAAGTTGAGGTTTTGGAGATCTTTTTGTCTTGCACTGGCATTTTTTTCTGTGAATACTTTAATACTGCCTCTTTACTAATACTGTTTGACAGCTGAGATTAAACTGTTTCTGAGAGGTAAAATATTTTGTACCCGACATCAATCTATCTATTTGAAGTTAATAATTTTCTGGTTTGCATCTAAATAACTAAAGCAAAAGTAATTAGACTATCAAGATGATTTAAAAAATGATTAAATTGAAAACGTTTTTAAGCGAAGGACAGAACCACGTTGCTTACATGTAAGTGTGTGGAGTTGGTGTATCCAAAATCTTGCAAAGTGGTAAAAATATCATTTTATACATGTACCTTTATCTGACGTTCATCTTAAGTATTTTCTTGAAGAAATAATGTGAAAAGAACTATTTGAACTCAATGGTGCTTGATAAAAGTATTCACCTATTGTGTCCCTGTTTTGAGCTTTACCACTGTCAGGTCAACATCTGGTTTTGGAAAAATATGGTTTTTGTTTTTGATTACTTCAACCTGTCATTAATAAAAAAAGTAATATTTAGTATGTACATTTTAGTTGCAAACTTGCAATAGTATTAAAAGACCTTATTTCCATTTGCACGTGATTTAGTATAAACACCCCTTGACCTAACATCCTGCCACTGTTTTATGGTCCATTGTATTTAAGTTTTGGGAAGAATAATTTACATAAAATTTTAGTTTTTGATTACATTTTTTTTAGCCATTTTAATTTTAACATTTGCAATATACCATAAAAATTTACTTAAAGACAAGACATGTTTCTATGTCAACAGTTTATTATATAGATGTTTGAACCAATATTTCCCGTGTTAGTCTTTTGACTGAAATCTTTGCATAGTTTACACGTTCAAGATTTTGATGAGATCAATATAACTGGATACACTTGTGACTTTGAAAATTTTATATATTGCCAATGTTGAAATTTGTAATAAGGTCAATAGAAGATGAAGTACTAAGGATAGACATTTGATAATAGACAAGCTTTTTAGCAGATCTTAAAATGTGTACATGTAATTGAGTAATATTTTATATATCATACAGTCCATCAGCTTTTTTTTCAATATTGATAAAATCAGGCCAAACGTACAAGACATGTACATGTATCTTGGTGTACACAATTTGTTTTTATGTAATATACAAAGCTTTTAATAAATATGTTATGTATTAGTAACTATCCACCAGAGAGAAAAGGATGAGAATGTAAAAAACTATAGGTCACTGTGCACCCTTCAATAATGAGCAAAACCCATACCATATTGTAAGACCCCAGCATGACAAAATGTGAATTCAAAAGAGAAGATTTACATTAAAACAATAAACTAAAAGAAAATATGGCAGACAACAAACCAACAACAACCCTGAATTTGCAGGCACATAAAGAATGTGACAAGTTAAACATGTTTGTGTGTGCTCAACCCTCTCCTAACCTGGGACAGTGATGTAACAGCACAACATAAGAGCATACTGTAAAAATCATTTGTAAAAACTTGACTTATCAGATCAACATGAAGCACAACAAAAGGCAGTAAACTCAAAGTACCAATCCAAGAGTATAACCAAAGTTGATTTCAACTAATAAACAAACCATGTTTTCCCTGAATAAAATATGAATGAGAATCAGCACACATCTAATGGATTTAGTGTTAAGATGACATTAATAGTCTTGCGAAAAGCATGACCTTGTGCAATGTATTTACAGAATATGTACATCATCACAAGAAATAGTAAAACCATGCTACCAAATGAAGGAGGATTATTCTGATACATATATAAAGGTAGTGAGAATGTTGGAATAATAATAAAGACTTGCACAATGATTACTTGCCTGGTCTTATAAAAATATTTTGACTTAATACATTTCAGGTATAACATAATGAAGAATATACATGTACACATTCCTGTTAAATATACAAATGGAGTTGAAAATGGAAAAACATTGGAACAGATTGATGCAGAAATTGCCAGCCATACTATGCCAAATCTCCCTTCAACAGACGACATTTCATTTGAAGAAAAGTCAGATATTGTAGAAGAAATAGTAGTAAAGAAAAGTTTTTGTGAAAAATGGAGGACAGATAAGGTATACAGGGCAAAGTTCCTGCATACACTCTGTCTTTTCTGGTCTTTTGTAAATCTGGTAAGATTTTTTTATGCATACATGTATAAAACCACTATATTTTAACTCTAAAGAACTCATTGTTTATCATTATATGAGGGCTTAGTCATTATTAAGCTGGGTAGAAATTTTATAATTCAATCATCTTTATATGAAGATTTTGAATTTTAAGATTTGTTTTAGCCACTCAATATACCAAATGACTGAATTACAATTAAAACATTTTCTAAACAAAGTTAGCTAAAAGATTTAAATCTGTAGTCTTGCACATGATTTATGTACATTTAATTGCATTTACAGTGTTTTTTATTGTAAAATAAGCATATAAATTCAACAACCACTTTTCATTGCAAAGAGAAAAGTCATAAAATGATCATTAACCTGCAGGTGGTATACAAGTGATTACTTTGTGCGATTTGCAGGTAAAATTTTTGTGGTGTGTCAATCATTTTACACCCAAGGCAGTACACACACAAACTTCAAAGAATATTTTTGTTACCTTAATCATCTTAATGTAAATATTGATAGCAATTTTTTTTAATTTCCTTTTTGTGTGATTAAATAAGGATGTCTTCATTCAACAGCCCATTTTAGTGATATGTACAAAGATTTATTTGCACATCAATTTATTTTTTTTTCTTTTGTTCAAGAACACAACACAAGGCACTTCATTATTACATATATGTTAAACCTTTAAAACAAAAAAAGAAATGCATTTCTCTGCTTAATGGCAGAAATAAGTGCTTGTTGCATTATAGGTTATATAGGAACATAAAACAGTTATTACTAGAAAGCAAATATGTACACACTCATGTCGTTATTAATGTTGCTAGATTTATTCTACAATATTGGCAGGTGTTGAATCCTCATCTCATCCATCTATTGATCTTCTTTTTGGTAATTTTGGTTTGATCTTTTGCAAGAAATCACTGCTTATCCATTTCAGATGAGTTCTGGGCTTTTAGCAGTTTTTAGTCCCATGTAACATATAGGTCATTTAAATATAATTATATAAGATTTCAAATTTTTAACTGCCTGCAATTACTCCTTTAACATGTTTAACACAAACTATTATTTTAAAATGTTTTCGATCCATTTTCAGATTACATGGATTCTAAATAAAACATAAGTAAGAAATAATTCCAATTTGATATGCATGTAAATGTTGTACATTTTCTCTAGAATGTAGTATGAGTAAACATGTTAAGAAGCTGTAAAGTTATACATGTACATTGCTGTATATTGGTTATTGTATAAAGCTAACCACACAAAAACTATACAGAAGGATTTCTGGAAAGATATTTGTAATCTCCTTGAATTTATATTGAAATTAATGATTGAACACAAATACATGCATTATCTTGAAAAGCTATATCCTTTCACAGAACATAATCTCTTAAATTGTCTTAAAACCAGATAGAATTTGTTTACCAATTCCATGTCAAAACACCTAAAGCAGCTATATGAATACATTAGCATGGATTGAAACTTTTTTGAAAGCATGCATAGATGTTGTTTTTCTAACCATCACGATAGTTATATAATTACTGTTCTTTTTTGTGATATTAATCTGGACTCAAGTTTTCCTGTTTTTTTTTTATATAATCTGATAAAGAAGGAATTAGACATTGGTCAAATGTGTGTATGAGACTGTCGAGACAGGCTAGTTTTATAAAATTAAATGCAATTCATTTGGCATGAATACAAATGATTACAATTATTTCATTATGCATAAAAAACTGATTGAAGCATGTTTTTCTGAAAACTACAATATATGATAAACATTGTACCACTCATTTTCTTGTCACTTAAAATAAATGAAATAGGTAATCATTTCATGCATGTACCTAGAGTAAATGTGACTTTGAATCTATTGATTAATTTTTCAAATTAATCAATAATCTTGGATCAGTTCTGGTTAAATGTTTTTGTGCTTGATTATCTCTGTATCTAAAGTCACACATCAGTGTTTTTACTAGGATTTAAGGATAGATGGGCACAGTTTTGAGGTGTAGAAGTTAGAACCCATTAGCATGGTTTCTTGTCTGATAATGGAGGACATAATCATGTAAGAAAAAAATATGAAATTATGATTATATTTATGTATTTTTGGTGGATTACTAGTATTTTTGGGCTGAAAAAGATTTTTCCATCAGATAATTGAACAGATGATTTTTGGCATGTAAAAGTAATTTATTTTCCTTCCAAAAAATATTTGCATTGGGCAGCTGCACTCCTATATTTTGGGCTAGCTAACTACATAGGTCACTACACTTTATTCATAATGTTTTCAGACTTTTATATGATGTAAAAGCTTGTTACATTACTATATAGCATATTTATAAAAAAAAAAAAACGAGATTATTCTACAATAACAATACATATATATCTTAAAATACAATACTTGTAAAACAAGTAAGGCTTTCAGTATTGTGGTTCATAAATTGGTAAAAGGAGATGTACACGTAGGTGTAAATGTTAATAAAACAGAAATCCAACAACACTTGTTAAGCAAAATTAGACACATCATCTTCAGTGATGTCTATCAATGCACATACAGAATGTGCTCCAGTCAATGCTTTTACACTCCAATAAGATTATAAAAAGAAGCATTCAATTCTTAAATAAAATTCATTATAAAAGTTAGAAGACAATCATTGAAGAAATATGTCCTGATTTATATTGGTACAGTTTGAGTTAGTTAATAACTTTTTATGAGCTTTACCATCCCTTTCAGTTCAAAATATCAGCTCCTGTATTTGTAACAAAAATGTAATAATAAACATTTAGTTATCTATATTTAGTTGATGTGGACTTTATGTAGCTGTTGTCCATGTGTAGAAGATAGGTTATTAAACTTTATTTTAGTTTCTCTATCTATCTTCCATACTGTCTCTTCTCCAGTTTATCTTTATGGTAAAACACCAGATTGAAAGAGATACATACATTATTTTTCAAGTACCTTTTCCTTATTATGACTGACCAAAATTTTGAGTCAGTTTACTAAACAATTTTTGTAAAAGTAATTTCTGTTCCATGATATAAAAAAAATATAGGAAACGGTTTTAAATCCTAAAATTGCAGACAAACTCAGAATTTTGGTGTTAAGACATGAAAGATTGATTTTGATAGCTGTAATGGTTTTATGATATCATACTCCATCAGATGTAACTTATCTGTTCAGAATGGTACATTTTGAATGAAGTATCATACTTTGTCAGCAGATGTAATTACCCTTCCAAAATGTGATTTAAAACTTGAGAACTTTTATACAAAAATTAAGAATCTCACATTTTCTTATTTCAGGGATGGATAATAGGACAGTTTGGGCCTTCGTTTCTTGACCTCCAGATAATTACTAGAACTCGTTTGGAGGAAGGCTCAGCCTTTATGACCGCTCACTCAGTTGGATATTTAGTTGGTTCTCTAGCCAGTGGTATTTTATTTGACAGATTTAACAAAATACTGCTGATTTTCACTGCCGTGTTTGGAAATGCTGTAACAGTAGCAATAATACCTTGGTGTTCGAGGTATGAGTTGATGATTTTCATACATTTGATAAAAGGAGTGTTTAGTGGAAGTCTTGATGCAGGTTAGTATAAAATATCACGCAAGCTGTAGTATTGGTTTTTTGTCGAGCCTGCGACTTTTGTTGCAGAAAGCTAGACATAGGGATAGTGATCCGGCAGCCGTGGTGTTAGCTAACTTCTTAAAAGCTTTATATTTTAGAAGCTAGAAGACCTGGATGCTTCATACTTTGTATATAGTGCCTTATGTTATGAAGTTTCCGTCTGTCACATGTCCATTGTCCTTGACCTCATTTTCATGGTTCAGTGACTACTTGAAAAAAAAGTCACCATTTTTTGTAATGTTAATTTCTTTCTTATTATGAGTAATAGGATAACTATATTTAGTATGTGGGTACCTTGCAAGGTCCTCATGCCCGTCATACAATTTTCATTTGACCTCAACCTCATTTCATGGATCAGTGAACAAGGTTAAGTTTTCGTGGTCAAGTCCATATATCAGATACTATAAGCAGTAGGTCTACTATATTTGGTATACGGAATGATTGTAAGGTGTACATGTCCAACTGTTTGGTGTCATCTGACCTTGACCTCATTTTCATGGTTCAGTGGTTAAAGTAAAGTTTTTGAGTTTTGGTCTATTTTTCTAATACTATATGCAATAGGTCAACTGTATATTTGGTGTATGGAAATATTTTATGATGTACATGTCAGTCTCACAGGTTTTATTTGACCTTGACCTCATTTTCACTGTTCATTTCTCAGTGTTAAGTTTTTGTGTTTTGGTCTGTTTTTCTTCAACTATAAGCAATAGATCAACTATATTTGTTGTATGGAAGGATTGTAGGGTGTATATGTCTGTCTGGCAGGTATCATCTGACCTTGACCTCATTTTCATGGTTCATTGGTCAATGTTAAGTTTTCATGGTTAAGTTTGTTTCTTAGATACTATAAGCAATAGGTCAACTATATTTAATGCATACATTGACAGTGTTCCAGCTAGGATTTGAAAATAGAGGGGCGCGTTTTTAAAAAAGGGCACTTTAGCGCGTTCTCACTGAAAAAAATCAAATACTTAATATTACCACATAATGACATATTTTTAGCAAGCATGTAGCTAAGTTAAATACTATATACTATTACATACATTGAAAATTGAGTAGGTTTGGTTGTGAATTTAAATAAGAGTGCCAATGAGACAATTGTCTTTATTTCGATCTTGAGAAATAGATTAATTCAACAAATAAGTTTGTTAATTCAACTTTGAAAGTTTATTATCAATTTAACAAGCATCTCCGTATATTTCATGTTGAGCGTATCTAATAATATCAATAAGTTTGTCAAAACGGATTTCAATAAGAAAATTGATACAAAAATCGGACTTTCGAGAGCTCCGTAATCGGCACAATAATAAATTAATTCAACTTTGAAAGTTTATTATCAATTCAACAAGCATCTCCGTATATTTCATGTTTAGCGTATCTAATAATATCAATATGAAAGTTAGTCAAAACGGATTTCAATTTAAGAAAAATGATAAAAAAATCGGACTTTCGAGTGCTCCGTAATCGGCGGAATTAACAATAGAAGAACAATTGCGATATCTGATAGAAACCTTTCTTCTTCTCGATTTTTCATAAAAGTAAAGAATTAAATTATTTTTTTACCTTTGATGGTCATTATTCTTGAAAAAAGATGTAATAGACTGGCAAGTCTTTGATATTTTCTTCTTGTCATTTTCGAGTTGGTCAATTTTTCTTTTTTTCGTCGGCATTTTGCGTGTTGACGATTTACAATATACTATTGGAATGATTCTTTTTTAACGAACGTTATTTTATAAATAACAAATACAATAGAAATGGACATCGTTCACATTTATTTTATAAATTCTATTTTGCATCGTCAGGTGTTAAAAAACAATTCATTTAACTTGGATGTTTGGTACTTCCGGGCAAAGGGATAAGACAGGGTCGTAAATTTCACCTGATTAAGTAATCGACTCTAATCAAATAGGTGATTATATACAGGTAACAAGTGTCAACAGTTTTGATCTGTTGTCTTAATGAAGTGTGTGTATAAAGAACTCAACAAAATGGCGACGATATGAGGAAAAAAGATCGTTTTTTAAAACTTTTTTCAAAAGGGCACAGAGGGGCGCAGGGGCGCTTAAAAAAGGCAGAGGGGCGCAAAATTTCGGGGGCGGGGCGCGGCGCCCCTCCATTTCATGCTAGCTGGAACACTGATTGATTGTAAGGTGTGCATGTCTGTCTGGCATGGTTCATCTGACCTTGACCTCATGTTCATGGTTCATTGGTCAATGTTAAGTTTTCTTGGTTAAGACTGTTTCTTAGAAACTGTAAGCAATAGGTCATTTATGTTTGGTTTATTGAATGATTGTAAGGTGTACATGTATTTCTTGTTTGGTTTATCTGACCTTGACCTCATTTTCTTGGATCATGTTAAGTTTATGTGTTACTTGTAGTAAAGCTTTATATTTAGGACTATCAACATAAAATCAATGGTTAGTAAAGAAGGCGAGACATTTCAGCGTGTGCACTCTTGTATACTGTATACTTTTGTTGCAAATTTGACAATTTTTTTATTAAAATAACTTCCCTGTAGACATTTTCCTTTAACAAATTAAATGTAACAACTTTATCCAGTTGGGCTGTCTAAAGGGAAAAAAAGGATATGCTTATTAATTCATTATACAAAATATCTGCATTTAAATGAAAAAACCAAAAGCAGAGGAACATTGCTTATATAGCTGTTCTTTATTTCCAATTAATAGTGATGAGGTCTGGAGCAAAAAACTCACGTCATTGCAGGTTAAAGACAGCCCCTAGCACTGGTTTAAGAGAAAATCTTTTTTAGATGTCGATCATGCTACATTTGTCATTGAAAAATATAGCTGCAGGGTTATATCAACAAATTATAAACTATTCCAGAAACAGTACAGATATTTAGAAACACATAGGGCACATCAAGATGATATAGCAAATAAGTCAGATGGTCTGCATACTAATTTCAATATACAACACTGGCCAATAGAAAGAAAATGAATTTGCAAACACACATAGTAAGAAATGTTTCTTTTGATTTTTGTCTCGCCTGCGAAGTCTCATTATGCGAGACATAGGGATTACTATCCGGTGGCGGCAATGTAAACTATTTGTATAAAGCTTTATATTTCAGAAGGTAGAAGACCTGGATGCTTCATACCTTGTATGCAGATACTTATATTACGAAGTTTCCGTCTGTCAATTGTCCTTGATCTCATTTTCATGGTTCAGTGAGAGTTTGAAAAAAAATAATAGTTTTTTTGTCTTGTGAATTTCATGTAATTGTATTATGAGTAATAATAATGCAACGTCTATGTGTCTGTCAGACAGGGTTCACCTGACCTAGAATTCATTTCATGGATCAGTGATCAAGGTCAAAGTTATGTGATAAGGTCCATTTCGCAGATACTATGAGGAGAAGGTCAACTATATGTGGTGTATGGAATGATTGTAAGGGGTTCATCAGTGTTCTCCCCAGAAATTTTGGATAGCATCACATTTGTCGTAAAAAAATAAATTGATTTTTTTCAATGTCATTTGACGCGTAGCGGCGATGGTCTATTTCCTTTATGTTATATAGGTTTATAATGTTCAATTCATAACTGAGAATACAATTAAACTTTAACCATGATAACAGTTGTTTCAGTTTATGTTTTCTATATTCATTTATAGTTACAGAATTATTTTTTTCCTCTTGGGCCAAATAAAAATATATGTGTGGTTCCAGTTACCCTACCTACTCAACTAAATGAATGAATGAATGAATTAATGGTTTATTATAGTACAACCTGTATATATACAATACTAAATATCTAGCAAAAGTTTTCTCTTTTGTGATCATTTTTTTCTGTCTACTGTGCCATTTGTGCATCTGTAGTTATTATCGTAAAAATGCGGAATTTTGTCATATCTGGTCCGGTTCCTATCTGTAGTTTACACAAATATTTCAATGGCGGAGGAAGAAAAATTTACGTAAATAAACAATGCTTGACAAGAAATTGGGAATGAATATGACGCTTTTAATGCATTAAATGGATGAAACATTTACTTAAGCCAATTATGATCTCTTTCTAAAGAAGTATCAAACTTATTTAACTCAAAATCAAAGTTTAATATACGCTCTCGATTAACTAGTTATACCGGAAATGAAAGAAAGTAATTTTTTAAAAGTTGTAAAAATATACGACCTAACCTCTTTTCTAAAGAGAGAAATCGTTTGTATCTTTGAATTTGGATTATGCAAACGTAGATTTCGAATTGTTTTTCGATTTTCTGATTACATTTTCTCCATGTCGAAATTTGCGATTGGACCACGTGGTATTATTCATGTCACAAGTGTCAGCTTGGGGTATTCGTATCCATTCAGTTATCACCCAAAGGACAATTAACACCTATGTAATCACTCTTAATTGTCTCTGTTGTCCAACTTGAAGGGATTACAATTAAAGGTGATATAACTTTTATGATCACAAGCGGTAATTAGATGAAAGTTCAATATTTAGGACATGGTTTTGCGATTTACACACAAGAAAAATAGCATCCTCAAAATAATTATAGCGTCGCGGAAATTATTATAGCATCACGGGGAAAAAATATAGCATCTCGGTGCCGCGACGCTAAAACGGCCTGGGGAGAACACTGGTTCATGTCAGTCTGGTCAGTTTCATCTGGGTCAAGATGCGCAATTCATTTCACATAGGTGACAATGGTAGGCTAGCCATTTCTTCAATTCCTCTGTCCATATTGTAAACTTGGATATGTATGATGGCTCGTTTTGAAGCTGAGATATTTTCAAAGATGTGGTTAAATTTTCGGGGTACGAAGTGAGATTAAATTTTTCACAAATTGGGAAACCTGGAAACCCGAAAGGCCCACTTGATGCCGCTTCAGCAAGTGAAAAGTCCCTATTTTCACACAGCTAAATTATCTGGAAATTCAGTTCTTTACAAACATTTAATAACTCCAAAGTTTTTACATCTTTATTCTACAGTCTTCTGCTCTTCAAAAAAGCACAAATGGTGAAGCTCAGTCAATGACCGAAATAGCATCATGTCCAATATCATTGCATACAGGTTTTTTTATTTCTATTTATAGTTGAGTACCTCACTTTGAGGCGCATTAGGGATAATGACCCAATAGGGTCAAGATGTGCAATTCATTTCACATAGGCAATAATGGTAGCTTTTTCTTTCATTCGTCTGTCCTTATTATAAACATGGATATGTATGATGGCTCGTTTCGAAGCTGAGACATTTTCACAGATGTGGTTAAATTTTCGAGGTACGAAATGAGATTAAATTTTTCACAAATTGGGAAACCTGAAAGGCCCCACTTGATGCTGTTTCAGCAAGTGAAAAAGTCCCTATTTTCACACAGTTGAATTATCTGGAAATTCAGTTCTTTACAAACTATTAATAACTCCAATGTTTTTACATCTTTATTGTACAGTCTTCTGTTCTTCAAAAAAGCACAAATGGTAAAGCATAGTCAATGACCAAAAATAGCATCATGTCAAATATCATTGCATACAGGTTTTTATGCACAGCTACGCCGGAGGGGGCATTAAGTGTTACCCTTGTCCGTTAGTCCATCCATTCATTCATCTGTACATCCCAAAATTAAGTTTCTGTTTAGTTTGCCTCAACCAAATGTTATGAAACTTATGCACAATGCTTATTACCTCAAAACACAGATCAATTTGCGTCACTGTTAACATTCTTGAGTTATGTCCCTTAATAACATTATATGCAAGCAGGGGCACCATCTGTGTCCCATGGACACATTCTCCATTTTTTTATTGAGTACCTCACTTTGAGGCGCATTCGGGACATTGACCAATCTGACCTTGACCTCATTTTCATGGTTCATTGGTCAGTGTTAAGTTTTTGTGTTTAAGTCTTTTTTTTAGTCCCCTACCGACGAAGTCGAAGGGGACTTTAGGTTTGCACTCCGTCCGTCTGTCCATCTGTCAGTCCGGCAAATCAGCTTTCCACACTTTTTTTCTTCGTTCTTGAAGATATTGATTTGATATTTGGTATATAGTTTTATCATGACAAGTTATAGATCAAGTTCGAATTTTGTTCCGGTCTGATGATTTAGTCCAGAGTTATGGACCATAATTTGGACCATATCTAATGTAAGAGTACTATGTTAAACCATATTTCTGTACAAAGGGAGATAACTCATTTTTAAAAAGACATTCTTTGTTGAATTATTTGAAGAATTTTTTGGCAGGTTTGTTTGTTATTTAGTATAAACTAATTTTCTGAATGCTATATATATAAAAAAAAATTATGAAGAGAAATCCTTTAATTAGATAATAATCTATTTTTATTAATGTATATATTTCAATACATTACATTTTGTAGATAAAAGTTGTTGACATTTTATAGATAAGTTACAAATCTATATTAGTTTGTGACAAATGAAAGAACAAATATTTGGAACTATTAATTATATTTGATTATAATTTGAAAATAGATTTACACTATATTACATCATATCTAATTTTAGAGAACTATTAATCATATCTACTGTTTTTTTCATCATGCTTATAAGATATTGATTGATAATTTGTATATAATTTTATCATGACAAGTTATAGATAAGTTCAAATTTTTGTTTCGGTCTAATAATTTTGTGCAGAGTTATGGTCCTTGGACTTGAAAATTCACTTATATAATCAGTTTTCCACACTGTTTTTAGTCATGCTTGAAGATATTGACATGATATTTACTTTTTGTTTACACCATGACAAGTTATAGAACAAGTTAGCATTTTGTTCCAGTATAATGAATTTTTACCCGGTAGGGGACTATGTATTGCCATGCAATACTCTCAGAATGCTTGTTCAAATACAAATAGCAATAGGTCAACTGCATTTGGTGTATGGAACAATTGTAAGGTGTACATGTCTGTCTGACAGGATTTATCTGACCTTGACCTCATTGTCATGGATCTTTAAAAATGTTAAAGTTATGTGATACTTGAAGTAAAATCTTTACCTTTAAGACTTTCAACATAAACAGAGGCGGATTTAGGGGGGGGGGGGGGGGGGGGGGGGGGTGCCCAGGAGGCCCGGGCCCCCCCTTTTGTGGGAAAAATTTGGTAGATTATATAGGGAATCACTGAAGCATGACTGGAGCAGGCCCCCTCTTAGGCAGTCAGAGGGCCCCCTCTTATGAAAATTTCTGGATCCGCCACTGATAAAACTAATGGTCAGTAAAGCAGGCGAGACATGTCCGCATGTGAACTCTTGTATATTATTAACATCATGTATTTCTACATTATAAAAATCCGAAGAAGTGGTATGATTGCAAATGAGACAACTCTCCACCAGAAACCTAATGATATAGAAGTAAGAAACTATAGGTCACCATACAGCCTTCAACAATAAGCAAAACTAATATCCAATAGCAAGCTATTAAATGCCCTGAAATGAAAAAATGTACAACATTTCAAACAAAATACTAACAGCCTGATTTAAGTACAAAACAAGATTTATAGTTTGTTGCATTTTCATATTGAAATGTTTTAGTGTTGACAATATAGATGCTTAAAATATTTACACTATGCTATTCTAATTTCAGTTGGAAATGCAGAGTTAGTTTACATATGGGGAGATACCGGAAGATCTTTCATGCAGACATTACATTTTTGTTTTGCTTTTGGTGGGATTCTATCACCTCTGGCAACAGCTCCATTCCTTGCTCCAAAGAGAGAACCAAGAGTTATCACCTCTGTCTCTAACATGTCTGATAATGTCGTGAACAGCAGTCTTTCTCCATTCAATATTGTTAAAACTAGTGCTATTGACAATGCTTTGAACGATGTTAATTATACAAACAGTGCCTACAGTAGTCCATTATCATATAGAAATGGATATTCTAACATATCATTATATTTAAATGAAACATTGTCAAAAACAATAGAGGAAGTAGAATGGGTAAAGCCACAGAATTCCATGATTTATGTGGCCTATTTTATCTCTTCTGGTTTAGCATTATCTGCAGCACTGCCATTTTTGGTCACATACTGCCGTTCTAAGAAAAACAATTTTTCACCATGCTTTCAGAAGCCTGCAAACAAAAATGAAAGAGAAATGACAAGCATGTCAAGATTCATGATGCTGCTAAATATGTGCCTGTTGATAGGAACATACAGTGCAATTGAAGACACTTTTGCAGGATTCCTAACAACTTTTTGTGTAGAACAGATGGACTGGACAAAAACACAAGGGTCATTTGCTACATCTATATACTGGGCGTCATTTGGTTTTGGCCGATTTATTGGAATATTACTTGTTAAGTTTTGTAGTCCTGTTAGGATGATAACTATGTACTGCTCTTTGTTAATTGTCTCATTTATTGGATTATTTTTTACATCATTTGCATTTTACCATGGTGGAATATGGATTTGTTCATCATTAGCTGGACTTGCCATGTCTATTATTTTTCCAACAATATTTACATGGACAGAAGCTGAAGTTCTGAGAGTCACTGGTAAAGTTGCCTCCCTTTTTCTAATCGGTTCTTCAAGTGGAACGATGGTAAATCCAATTATTTTAGGATTTCTTATGGATGAACTGACTCCCATGTGGTTTTGTTATTTGTTGTTAGGTGAGAGTGTGATGTTGTTTATATTATTTATATCAGCATTATTATTATCTAAATATATCAAGAATGCTCAGTATACTGCCTATCGTGATGTTGTCGTAGAGATCAAATGTGATGAGGAGGAACCAGCAGATGTGGCAAGTCTACTAGATGAAGAACTTGACCTTGAAGATAGGACAAATTGTCAAAATGAAATAACAGAAACTAATTTAGTTGGCATTGCTTTTGCTGATGAAGAAGAAAAAAAGAAAAGTTATGAACAACTCAATAATAATGACACTTCATGTTAAAGATCTGTTTGTTTTTTTTGGGAGCAAAGATCTGTCTGTAAGCAGCATTTTTTTTTTCTTCTTTCACCGCTTATTTTGTGGTGTTTTATGCAAGGTTGTCTTTTTTACCAGTTTGTTGATGTCTTCCATAGTGATAGAAATTTTATTTTTGACTTATATTTCTAATGTTATATACATATCACCAACAAATTTGTAGAATTTATGTCAGTGGATTTTTTTAATTCTTTTATATGAATATAATATACATGTACATTGTCTCTCTTCCAGCATTCCAGCCTTCTGGTATAAGTGTAAAATCGTTATGTTGTATAACCATGTAAATTTACTGTAAAATCAGAAATGATTGCATTCATTTAATATTGTGATTGCTAATTAATAAGCAACAAACAAAAAAAGGTGAGATTAATTAATGTGATTTCAGTGCACTCAGATTTAAAATATGTTAAATAATTAATAGGATACTTATTCAACTGAAATCTTTTGCAATTATATGAACATTGCAAAAATTACAGAATTTACATTGATTTATATTTGTATGTTATGCTTTTTGTCATGTATGAAGTGAGAAAACTTGATAAGAAAGTGAAGTTTTCATGAAGGAAAATTGGAAAGACAGTAAAAGTAGATGTAAAAATGAGTGATTAATTCCATTATTCTCCTTTCATCAAAATGTTCATCTGAATAATTGTGCTGATAAATTATCAAATATTTTTTAGACAAAACTTTTATAGGAAATAGTCCCAATTATGATAAATTTTTATTATATTAATACACTTTTGATTTGGAGAAAAATTCTATTGAAACTAATATTTGAATCTAGGTAACTTTAATTGATGGAATTGTTATGTTTTTTGATCCTCCTCCAGAATTCTATTAGCCATAAGGATGTGTTCTTTAGTTTCTTAAGTTTGTGTTACAGTATAGGTACATATACAATGTATACATACCATGTCTACCTCTATGTTAAATATGCCAATGGTGTTTTTGACAACAATATATTGAGCACAAGAGAATGAGGAAAACTATATTTTCTAAATACATTTGTACAAATAAGTTATCTCTTATTTTCTTTTTATTGTTGTCCCAACTTAGATTTTCCTTGGCAAAGGGAGATAACAGTATTATCTTGAGACCTATCCCATTGATGTACCTGTTTAGACAGTAATTTGCTAAACTGTTTAGAGTTACTGTGGATTCATAATTATTCGTTGGATACCAGTTTTTGTGGATTTCGTGGGTACAGGTGAACCACGAAATTAAATGTTCAACGGATAACAAATTTTCTATAGGCTTGTATAAAGACTTCGGCAAAACCATGAAATTAAATATCCACAAACATGTACGTTTTCCTTAATCCCCGAAAATTGGTACCTATGAAAATAAATGAATCCATTCATATGAGGGTATTTTGTAAGAATCTCTAGATGGCCTGACTCTAAGAGATGTTCAACTTAAACTTACATGCCTGTTTGAGGTGGTAATTTGATAGAAATTTTTATAAGAAGTATGGACGAACCTGTTTACAGAGGCACATTTAGGGGAGAGGGGGGGGGGGGGGGGGGGTGGATGGGGCAGGGTCCTTGGCCCATCTTATTGATCTAATTATATGGTTAATGCATAGACTTTTTACTTGTCCCACTCCTTAGTTTAACGTTGCCTAGTGTGGGGGTCCCCCTTTTTCAAATTTCCTGGGTCAGTATCTGGTTTATAGGGATAATAGGAAAGATCTGTGATAGTTGCTGTACAAATGTGGAGGTTAAAAAAAAGACATATTCCTTGAAATTTTTCTATGCATATGCCTAGTTTTTCACACAAGTGAATTCAGCAAATTGAATTTTGACCCCCTCACCCTGGTGAAAACCAGTGATACGGTGATATTACCAATAAGTTGATTTTTCATGCAAATGACTTAGTCAAAATAATTCTGACGTCTTTGTGCTGGTTGAAATGTTTTGAAATTAAGAACTAACAGTACAGTAGTACTGTCAAAACGTTAAAGCAGATATTATGATTGTCAAATCCAAAATTAATGATAATAAAAATGGTAAAATTAATTAAGGATAATATTGCTTTGTTTTGAGATGGATATAATTCATCTGTCATAAAATGTAAGTTAAACTTTTCTGTGGGTGTTCTGTTCAAGGAGCATCTGCTTTCTGTATTTATCTTTTACTTTTTATTCATTGAAGTCGTTTTTTCATTCCATTCTATTTACTATTCCATTTATATGCAGCATTGAAGTTTATTTCCAGTATTTTGTACTTATGAAAGATGAAGTCTATGCATTTACACTGTATTGTACTTTTTAAAATGTTGATAGGATTTGAAAATTACAAGTTGTAGAATATAAAGTGAAAATTATTTGTATACAACAACAAAATTTATGGTATTCTAGATCTGGTATTTGGTGCTGTTGTTGTCATCTGTCTGTTGAAAAACAGATTTGAATGCAATGACTTTGTTCTTGTTTTGTGGTCCTTGTGAAAGTTTAACATAGTGAATAACATAGTGAATTTAGTGTATTGATTTTGGACAATTGACACCATGGGCTCAAGGGACCAAACACTGTTTTTTACTAGTTTTGTTGTTGAGCATTTATATTTTCATACAGTTTTTTGTTTTTTTCATTACTCATATTTGGGGTATATCATCATAGTTGATGTATTATTTATGATTCAAGTAATAAAGGTATCAATCTCCAAATTTTATAAAGTTTTTTATATAGGTTTTTTTTACATTTTTAATGACTGGTCATAGCTGATTTTTTAAGCAGGTTTGTGGTAAATGCACATTTTCATGGCTAGAAGAGTTATTGTCTTTCATCATATTGTTTGTGGTACTTTAAGTTTCTCTTGAATCAGTAGTACATGTATGTTAACACATTTTAACACTTTGTGAAAAACAATAGTACCAATTATTCAACTGATATAATTGGCCATTGCAAGAAGATTCTTATTCAATCCAAATGACTTTTATTGGGCACATCTTTTAACTCATGAAATATATCAGAACTAAAATGAAATTTAGTTGAGGTATGTTTTAAAGCAGATTCAGTTAAATATCACAAACAGTAATTGCCAAAAAAGAAAATAATATATATATATAAAGAAAAGTTGAGTAGAATCCTTATGCTGGTAACATATAAGAAAATTAAAAAAAAGAAGATAATAACGGGTTCAATTCATTACATTTACTAGCACTTTCACTGCTTTGACAGATCTTAGGCATTACCTGAAGATCTGTCAAAGTAGTGAAAGCACTAGTAAATGTGATGAATTGAAACTGGTATTATCTTTTATTAATTTTCTTATATATATATATATTTATAGTTTTACCAGTTATGTGCCATTAGCTTATATGTTCAGCTACATACTGTAGAACACTTTAGTCTCAAATGTTTTAGGTTGTGTACAATAAAGTTTTATCAATTTTATGCAACTTTATGATCTGTTTATAGCAGTGTTCTGTTTTTATCTGTGATTATAATTTATATATGCACAGGTGGTTGTTTTCATTATCATATATGTAATGATTATGTTCTTAAATAAATTTATGATTTAGCTTTTATTTTTTATGCCCCTCCTAGTGTCATTATGTTTTTTGTCGAGCCTGCGACTTTTGTCGCAGAAAGCTCGACATAGGGATAGTGATCAGTCGGTGGCGGTGTTAGCTTACTTTTTAAAAGCTTTATATTTTAGAAGGTGGAAGACCTGGATGTTTCATACTTTGTATATAGATGCCTCATGTTACGAAGTTTCCGTCAGTCACATGTCCAATGTCCTTGACTTCATTTTCATGGTTCAGTGACTACTTGAAAAAAAAATGTTAAGATTTTTTGTAATGTTAAATTCTCTCTTATTATAAGTAATAGGATAACTATATTTGGTATGTGCGTACCTTACAAGGTCCTCATGCCCGTCAGACAGTTTTCACTTGACCTTGACCTCATTTCATGGATCAGTGAACAAGGTTAAGTTTTGGTGGTCAAGTCCATATCTATAAGCAATAGGTCTAGTATATTCGGTGTATTGAAGGACTGTAAGGTGTACATGTCCAACTGGCAGGTGTCATCTGACCTTGACCTCATTTTCATGGTTCAGTGGTTATAGTTAAGTTTTTGTGTTTTGGTCTGTTTTTCTTATACTGTATGCAATAGGTCTACTATATTTATACCCCAAGCAACGAGTTGCGGAGGGTATAATGTTTTTGACCCGTCCGTCCATCTGTCTGTCCGTCCGTCAGTCCGTCAGTCCTGTTTCTTGTCATCGCAACTCCTCTCAAACCACACAACAGAATTTCACGAAACCTTTTTAGATAATAAGGACATACTATGTAATTGTGCATATTGACAGGAAATTACGATTCAATTTTTTTTCTAGGAATTACGCCCCTTTGAACTTATTTACTTTAATGTACTACTGCAATAGTTTGTCATCGCAACTCCTCTGAAACCACACAACAAAATTTAATGAAACTTTGTAGATAATAAGGACATACTACGTAGATGTGCATATCGACAGGAAATTACGATTCAATTTTTTTTCCAGGAGTTACGCCCCTTTGAACTTATTTGCTTCAATATACCTCTGCAACAGTTTGTCATCGCAACTCCTCTGAAACCACACAACAGAATTTCATGAAACTTTGTAGATAATAAGGACATACTATGTAATTGTGCATATCGACAGGAAATTACGATTCAATTTTTTTTCTAGGAATTACGCCCCTTTGAACTTATTTACTTTAATGTACTACTGCAATAGTTTGTCATCTCAACTCCTCTGAAACCACACAACAAAAATTTCATGAAACTTTGTAGATAATAAGGACATACTACGTAGATGTGCATATCGACAGGAAATTACGATTCAATTTTTTTTCAAGGAGTTACGCCCCTTTGAACTTATTTGCCCAATATACTACTGCAACCTTTTGTCATCGCAACTCCTCTCAAACCACACAATAGAATTTCATGAAACCTTTTCAGATAATAAGGACATACTATGTAGATGTGCATATCGACAGGAAATTACGATTCAATTTTTTTTCTTGGAGTTGCGCCCCTTTGAACTTATTTGCTTCAATATACCTCTGCAACAGTTTGTCATCACAACTCCTCTGAAACCAAACAACAGAATTTCATGAAACTTTGTAGATAATAAGGACATACTAGGTAGATGTGCATATCTACTCAATTTTTTTTCTAGGAGTTACGCCCCTTTGAACTTATTTTCTTTAATGTACTACTGCAACAGTTTGTCATCTCAACTCCTCTGAAACCACACAACAAAATTTCATGAAACTTTGTAGATAATAAGGACATACTTTGTAGATGTGCATATTGACAGGAAAATATGATTCAATTTTTTTTTCTTTTACAATTTTTTTTTCTTAGTTATTTTATTTCTCCAGTGACAATGTGGGGACGTGGGGTATGTGAGCGCGCTCACTAAGGTTCTTTAATTGGTGTATGGAATGATTGTAAGGTGTACATGTCTAGCTGGCAGGTTTCATCTGACCTTGACCTCATTTTCATGGTTCAGTGGTCAAAGTTAAGTTTTTGAGTTTTAGTCTTTTTTTCTAATACTATATGCAATAGGTCAACTATATTTGGTATATGGAAATATTTAATGATCTATGTGTCGGTCACACAGGTTTTATTTGACCTTGACCTCATTTTCACGGTTCATTGCTCAGTGTAAAGTTTTTGTGTTATGGTCTGTTTTTCTTAAACTATAAGCAATAGGTCAACTATATTTCTTGTATGGAAGAATTGTTAGCTGTACATATCTGCCTGGCATGGTTCATCTGACCTTGACCTCATTTGCATGGTTCATTGGTCAATGTTTAGTTTTTTGGTTAATGTTAAGTTTCTGTGACAGTTGTAATAAAGCTTTATATTTAGGACTATCAACATAATATCAATGATTAATAGAGAAGGCGAGACATTTCAGTGCACTCTTGTTGGTCTGTGCGTTCGTTCGTCTGTCCCGCTTCAGGTTAAAGTTTTTGGTCAAGGTAGTTTTTGATGAAGTTGAAGTCCAATCAACTTGAAACTTGGTACACATGTTCCCTATGATATAATCTTTCTGATTTTAATGCCAAATTAGAGTTTAGACCCCAATTTCACAGTCCATTGAACATAGAAAATGATAGTGCGAGTGGGGCATCTGTGTACTATGGACACATTCTTGTTTATCATATAAGTTAGACAACACACTTAATTAGTATGACTGACAAATTCTATCTTCATTCACAATTTTTAACCAGGTTTTCCAACAGTCTTTAACTTTGTAGTACAGTGGGCAGGCATGCTTAAGGTTGGTGTGGTTACTCTAGCTGTTTCCATGCAATAACTTGAGAAACGGTTTATATAAGCAATGTCTCGGACAAGTTCCAAAATCAAATATTTTAAAAGAGTAATGCCCCTTGAAAATATTATTTATATTTGAAATTGCTTTGTATTTGCTCTCAAGTCTTCATTTTTCTTAAGATATTTATAAAAAAAAATTAAAGAACAAAAAAATTTTTTTTTTAGTTATTGCCATTGGATAGATAAAATATGCGCAAGGAACATTGGAATTGGAACTCTGTTCTTTTATTTAATTCTAATATGTTGTTATTGATGACAAAATTGAGGTTAAGGTCAATATTGAAATTTTCACTTTTGCCAGAGATTGATTCTATGCAAAAACTTGAAAAATCTTGATCCAATTCTTTTCAGATCTTAATATGACTAAATGTAGGACAAGAATGATTTTGACAATTTCACTATTGCTGTTTAGCAGTTATGTCCCTTCATTATGAAACCTAATGAAAATGATAAAAACCTAGTTTGCTGTCGTATTGTCAGCCTCTTGTCATGACCATTTGCCAACTTTTTCTGAATTGTATATCAAGGGCATGTTAAAAACAAAACTAGAAGGTATTGTAAGGGATGCACATGAGACAAACGGACATTCGTTATGAAGAAACTGATGGCTTATCTTATACATGTATCAAATATGGGCAAAACTGTATAAAGGAGTAAAAGTAATGAAAATAAGATGTGGTATGATTGCCAATGAGACAAGTATCAACCATTCCAAAATGAGCTGGGTGTAAGCAACTATAGGTCACCATACAGCCTTCAATGAGCAAAATCCATACTGCATATTTGGCTATAAAATGCCAAGACGTGACAAAATGTAAATAAATTCAAATGAGAAAACCAATGGACTTTTTTGTGAACACTTATACCTTAGACAGTGGTGTAACAGCATAACATTAGAAAATACTGTAACAAGAGTACTCATGTCTTGCCTGCTTTACTGATCATGATTGATTTTATGTGAAAGTCTTCACAATAAATGTTTTACTACAAGTATCACATAAACTTTATTCATGTAAATGAGGTAAATTTAGATGAACCCTGCTAGACAGACCTGTACACCTTACAATCATTTCATACACCACAAATACTATTTGTTCATTTTTTGGTATTACCGAAATTGAAAAAAAAAACAACAGTCTGTTTACTAGGAAGTGAATATGTGTATATTTAGGATAGTAGGTTCCCATCAGGGATTAATGAGTAATAGTGTGAAAGAGAAAACTTTAAAATGTTGATGGATTAAGGGAGCTACCATTTGATTTTTATGAGAGGGGGTGGGCTAGGATGAAATTTAAAAAAAAATGCAGGACAGGAGTTTTGAGTAAAAAAAAAGGCAGGATGAGCAACTTGGCAATATTTCATCATATTTAACATTACTAAAAGCTTAAAAACTGGAAAAGCTGTCAATTTTTGAGTAAAGATTGCATGAAATGCAATCAAAACCCTACGGTACTGACTTGATATTTAAACCTTTCAAGGTTTATCACTACTTTGGAGATACACAAAATATAGTGCATTGATCAATATATTCTAAACATCCTATCTATGAAGATTTTCAGAAGTTTATCAATGAAATATATGCTCAGATATTCAAGTTACAAAGTGATGTTGTACCTGTCAAGAAAATAACATAGCTTGTGCAAGGTGTAGGAATCTTAAGATCTGTTCTAAAAATATCAATGATGTCAAATTTGAGTTATCTTTCTTTGTCCATAATTTTAGTTGAATCAACTAAAACCAATGCTATATACAATGCAATGTTTAATTTTACTTCCCACTGATAAATTAAAGCAATCTTTACCCTTCAGTGCTTACAAGCACTTTGATTAATTCATTTGTTCTAGGCCTAGAAATGTTTCTGACATTCTTAAAGAGGGAAAAGATTCTTACATTTGGTAGTTTGTTTTAAAATTCAAATGATTTCCCTTAAAAATACTGCATCTGATTAGGAGGAATTTCTTGTATACTTTCCAAACTTTTGTGAAAGGCACTTTACTGACCATGACTAAGGTCTTTGGAGTGCTGAAGAAAGGTTATTTGTTTGTAAATATTTCAAACTTTTACCTCTTACAATCAAAAGTGGCTTATGGCTTCCTTACCTGTCTTCTGATACCATCCATGAATATAAATTTTGGAAAAACCATCAAATTAGTGTTCCTGGGTCATATGTCTTAAACAGCAAGACATGTATTTGATGGAATATAAAACTTTTCAAAGGCAATCAAATACTTATCCAACATATGGTCTGATGATCTAATGCTTCATTACAGAACACGAAAACCAAAAGGTAAAAACAAAACATCCAAATCTATCTTAGGTCATTTTTGACTGACAGAGATTCACTTTTGGTCAAGTCGGGCCATTTTTAGAAAATTTTATGATATAGGTTTTTTCTCATAGTTGAAGGCTATATAAATACTTTGGACTTTGCATGGTTGTCAAACTGGCAATCATACCACAACACATTATTCTATATTGCAATCTTAGTATTAGGACAACATAATTTATGGAATGAAAATCTATTATTTAAACCATGCCAATACCTATGCACTGCCAACTATCAGATGGAACCTTCAGGTACATCTGAAGCTTAATGTATACCCCAGTGTTGTAATATAAACATACAGATCTGATTTCCATGATAAAAATGTAACAAGAGTGCACACACTGAAATGTCTTGCCTGTTTTACTTACCATTGAATTCATGTTGAAAGTATGTAATATAAAGGTACAGACAGTACAATCATTTCATACACCAAATATAATTGACCTTTTGATTATAGTATCTAATAGACTGACAAAATTACAAAATACTTATCATGTGTTCAATGAACAAGGAAAATGAGGTCAAGGTCATGTGGACCCTGCCAGACAGACATGTACAACTTACAATTGTTCTATACACCAAATATAATTGATCTATTGATTATTATATCTAAGAAATAGACCAAACCACAAAACTAAATATTGTCCAATGAACCATGAAAATGAGGTCAGGGTCAGATGAAACCTGCCAGAGGGACATGTACACCTTACATTCATTCCGTACACCACATTCAGTGGCCCTATTGCTTATAGTATCTGAGAAATAGACTTAAACACAAAAACTAAATATTGTCCAATGAAGCATGAAATTGAGATCAATGTCAGATCAAACCTGCCAGTCGGACATGTACACCTTACAATCATTCCATATACTAAATATTGTTGACCTAATGCTTATAGTATCTGAGATACGGACTTGACCATGTAACTTTAATCTTGATCACTGATCCATGAAATGAGGTCAAGGTCAAGTGAACCCTACCTGATGGACATGTAGACGTTGTAAGGAACCCATATACCAAATATAGTTATCCTATTACTCATAATAAATGAGTATTTCACTTGACAAAAAAACAATTTTTTTTTTTTAAGCAGTCACTGAACCATGAAAAGAGGTCAAGGACAATGGACATATGACAGACGGAAACTTGTTAACATAAGGTATCTGTATACAAGGTATGAAGTACCCAGGTATTCTACCTTCTGAAATATAAACTTTTATACAAATAGTTTACACTGTCGCCTCAGGATTGTAATCCCTATGTCTTGCATTCTGCGACTTTCGATACAGGCAAGACAAAAATGTGCCCCTCAGTGAGACTGCAGTAATTTACAAGTATCATATTATTAATCTTTTAAGTATTTTGAATATAGTGTGTAAATAAACAAGTTCTAACATAATGGACAGGATTTTTTTCTTTTTTTGATGATAAATTTCAAAGGAAAGCAACAGACTTTGACTTACATTTTTATTGCATCTAGAAAGTGCAAACTGAACAGAAAGAAATATAAAATTCAGGGGATAAAATTCCCTAAATACTGAATGAAAGAAAAAATCCTTAGCTTATACATCTGAATCTGCAACGACCAAGGGATAGATGATAAGACAGACAGACTGATTTTTTGGGGGGAGGGTACAAAAAAGTTATATTCTTAAACATCATGCAGAGATTGAATGAAAATAACATTTAAGATAATAATATAGGAAAGGCCATAATAAACAATTTTCACATTACATTTATTAGAAAAAATTTTAACAGAAATAAACAGATATACAATATAAAATATTAAATTATCAAGGAAAATGAACAAAAGTAAAATTTTATCTTCAATAAATAACATCATATATATACTATATAAACCTTAACTATTTTTGCTAACACAAAATAAATTGTTTTTATCTTATCAACATGCTATATATTAACTTTCACTTTTTTCTTGACCTAAAGTATTTTTTAGAGACACATTATTTATTTTCAAATATACATCTTTTAGAGTGCCTTTAGGTAAAACAAAGGTCAAGAAGTTAATGTTTTTATCTGTGCCAGAATCACAATAATTGTTAATGTAAAAATAAGAAAACAACAAAATTATTAATATAAATTTGTTTTAAAAGACAACTCAAACTAGAGACTCTAAAGAGCCTGTGTCGCTCACCTTGGTCTATGTGCATATTCAACAAAGGACACTCTCCAACATAGTAGATGAGAATAGAAGTCATGACAAAAATCTTTGTTTGTTGATCTTGAATTGCTGATCATTTAGTCTGTTTAGTTTCTCTCTATCTTCTTTAGTTTTTGCTCAAAACACATAAGAAAGTAAAAAAAAATCCTCATTTTAAGGTCAAGGAACAGTAAATGGGCTGTTATTGATACATAAACTTCCGCTTTACTGATATCAAATAATCATATGGTCACCGACTTCGTTTTTTGTCTAATAATCAATCTTTCACCATCTAGTTGGTAGTGAAAAACATCAAAAATTTACGTTTAATGACCTGCAATGCGATCCCGTTACGATTATTTCGACGTTTTGTGGTACTTTTTCACATAGAACACCACCTTGAATGATGTATACCGTAAAAACAAAGTCCGTGACCCTAAAGCCGTATTGACAGTTTTGATGTTTATGGACAATTGGTAGAGCTCACATTCTGAACATTTCTGCTCCAGTCAGATTTTCTCTATTTGTAACAGTTTTCAAAATAAAAGACAAAACTTGCATTTTACCCCTATGTTCTATTATTAATCATGTCGGCCATCTTGGTTGGCAGGTTGGGTCATAGGACACATATTTTAAACAAGATACCCCAATGATGATTGTGGCTAAGTTTGGTTGAATCTGGTTCAGTAGTTTCAGAGGAAAAGATTTTTGTAAAAGTTAACGGAGGACGACGGACGACAAGTGATGAGAAAAGCTCCTTTTCCCTTTTGGCCAGGTGAGCTAAAAAGGAGTCAATTGTATGTTTCAGTATTATTGACATTTTTGTGGATTCTGTATTGCAAATAATTTATACTACTTGCTGTTTCTTTCTATCTGTAATAATTTATAATAAAATAGTAAGAAAAAAGATGTTGCCAATATAACGAGTTTTTATATTAGTCAGTGTCATTGTTATAGCAATTAAAGACGATAACTCCTGATTAGTAAAAGTGAAAATCATCAATATCAAGCTTGACCTTGATTCTGTCATCAGTAACAGCATATTAAAATATGAAAAGCACAGGTTAATCAGTTCTTGAAGTATTGCACAGAAATAACACTTACCATTTTCAAATGAATGAGAGGACCATAACTCCTGAAGTGCAAAAGTGACATCATCAATATTAAACTTCACCTAAATCTTATCACCAGTAACAAAATATTCAATGTAAAAAACATTGGTTGAACTGTTCATTGCATTATTTATTGCATTGAAACAACTTTTTTGCCACCAATCAAAGATTATAATTCCTGAAATGCAAAAGTGAAAATTGTCAATACCAAACTTGATTGCCATTTGTAATCTTCAGTAACAACACAGCAAAATGTGAAAATCATTGACTGAATGGTTTATAAGTTATTGCACAGGAAAGACATCAAGTGTCATTTACAATCAATCAAAGATCATAACTCCAGAACACCTCAATATCAAACTTGACCTATATTTTGTCATCAATAACAACATATTAAAAGCTTCATAAGTTAACACATGAAAACAGCTGAAGTCGTCTGCTCATCAGTCACCCACCTGCCAGAAATTGATGGCTTTATGCTACAGTATTTAGTAAATCTTGAATGTCTTCTGATAATTTTTGCTATTCACAATTTTAGTCTACATGTATCTACTATATTTTCAAGATAATATGCAAAAAAAGCTAAAATGGTTAAAAAACATTATTTTTAAGGACATTATTGTATTATTTTCAAATGCAAACAAGAAAAATTATTAGTGAAGTAATTCTTTTTTTTTCCAACTTAAAACATCCTTATTGCACTTTTCTATGCCATTATGACAAATTACTCAACCTACAGCAGTTGGCCGAGTATCCCTGTGATTTAGTCACAGGATAACCAGGGAAATTACCCAATGAATTCATATTTATAAAAATAATAAAATGCTCCGCTGGGGCGCAGCTTGATACGACCGCAGAGGTCGAACCCTGAACAGTTGGGGCAAGTATGGACACAACATTCAAGCTTGATACAGCACTGAATTTAGATTGTAATTAAATATTGGCACTGTATAGGTTTCTGACACAGAATGAATGTGGTCTAAGAACTTAAAAATTTTTCATTTACCTATTCAAACCATATCATTATTGTTTGCTTTTATATATAAATCAGAATTAACCAATTTAAAAAGGAAAATTTTAAAGAAACACCCCCCCCCCTCCCAAATATTTTTAACCCCCTTATGATTCATCACCCCCAAAACTCAATCCCAGCCTTCCCTTTGTGGTATGGTACCTTGCAGTACAATTTCAGAGAGATCCATACACTTTAACACAAGTAATTGTCTGGAAACTAGAAAAATGCTAGTTTTTTTGTCCCTTTATGGCCCCTAATTCCTAAAATCTTGAGGCAATTACCCCCAAAATCAATCCCAGCCTTCCCTTTGTGGTATGGTACCTTGCAGTACAATTTCAGAGAGATCCATACACTTGAACACAAGTAATTGTCTGGAAACTAGAAAAATGCTTATTTTGGCCCCTTTTTGGCTCCTTATTCCTAAACGTTTTGGGCAATTACCCCCAAACTCAATTCCAGCTTTCCCTTTGTGATATGGAACCTTGTAGTACAATTTCATAAAGATCCATACACTTACACACAAGTTATTGTCATGAAACTAGAAAAATGCTTGTTTTTTGCCCCTTTTTGGCCCCTAATTCCTAAAATTTGGAGGCAATTACCCCCAAAATCAATCCCAGCATTCCCTTTGTGGTATGGAACCTTGTGGTACAATGTCAGAGAGATCCATACACTTACACACAAGTTATTGTCATGAAACTAGAAAAATGCTTGTTTTTTGCCCCTTTTTGGCCCCTAATTCCTAAAATTTGGAGGCAATTACCCCCAAAATCAATCCCAGCATTCCCTTTGTGATATGGAACCTTGTGGTACAATGTCAGAGAGATCCATACACTAACACACAAGTTATGTCTGGAAGTTACAAAAATGCTTATTTTTGGCCCCTTTTTGGCCCCTAATTCCTTAACTGTTGGTACCATAACCCCCAAAATCAATCCCCACCTTCCTTTTGTGGTATTGAACCTTATGGTAAAATTTCATAGCGATCCATTCACTTAAACTAAAGTTAGAGTGCGAAAACCAATGTGTCTTCGGACGACGACAACGACGACGACAACGTCATACCAATATACGACCACAAAATTTTTTTGCGGTCGTATAAAAATTTAGTTTTACAAATCATACTTAATACAAACAATTTTTTTTGAATATATAAAGTAATATGATTATGGAAATTGTACAGTTTTGTCTGCTTTTGTTTCTTAGCACTTGTTATGATCATTGATCTTACCCTTTTAAAGAAATGTTATCAGTTATCCTGTAGAGGATGTGACTTATTGACTGTTCTCCCAAACAGCTTAAATATTGTAAGTGGTAAGTCTTGATATCTACATAAGTTTATATAAACATTTTGATTGAGCTGTCATATGATAATAAGTATATTTTAAAGTTTGAAGACTACTGTACATTAGTTTTCAGAAAGCATGCCTTTTCAATTGATTATCACGAGCACAGATCAATTTAATGCATATGTTCCGGACCAAATGAGTATTTGGACCATACGCTTATGGTCATGACCATATGTGTATATACTCATATGGTCCGACCATATGTGTATGGTCTGGGTGTTTAATACGATGGACGTTGCCTTAAGTACGAACCTTCAAGGTGTCATTAATTACCGGTAAGAGTTTTTAACTGTGACTTATTACATCATATGGCAACCATTGTTACATGATTAATGAAATAAAATTAGTTTTTCTCAAATTGAAATTTAAGTTAAAGCATTTTTACATGGTCATTTTTGACTTGTCCTTATGAAACACACTATGTGACGATTTTGACTTTGGAATATAACTTCAAGAAATATTTAAATGTACCGTTTAACAAGAAGTCAACTGTTTAACTTACAGGTACTTAGGGCATTGCACCCCCACCTTTTTTCCCCTTTATTTTGATGTTTTAATTTGATTTCAGTAAATATTTTTAAACCATTGTTACATGATTAATGAAATAAAATTATTTTTTCTCAAATTGAAATTTAAGTTAAAGCATTTTTACATGGTCATTTTTGACTTGTCCTTATGAAACACAATATGTGACGATTTTGACTTTGGAATATAACTTCAAGAAATATTTAAATGTACCGTTTAACAAAAAGTCAACTGTTTAACTTACAGGTACTTAGGGCATTGCACCCCCACCTTTTTTCCCCTTTATTTTGATGTTTTAATTTGATTTCAGTAAATATTTTTATTAATATCTCAAATTATTTTTAGTTATTTAATGATCTTTAATGTGTTCATGCTCCTATTAATACAATCATACATGTAGTAGTTTAAACGTGCTGTCCCTATATGTTTTTATGTATAATAATAATAATAAATTCTTTATTTAAAGAGGGTAAACACAGTTAGTTACAATTACTAATCTTCCCTGAGGCCATCATATACAATACAAGTAAAAAAATAATAATAAGAGAAAAAAAGCAAACATACAACATATTAACACATAGTCAGTTCACAATCGTATAGTCATGATAGTTCAGTGTACATGTACCATTAGAACATATAAAACAGTTACAGAGTGCATGTAGTAAATAGATATTATATACAAATCAAAATCATACATTCTAAAAAAGTAATAGTTGCAATCATTTCAAGACTGAATATTGGGACTGCCTCAAGTATCATTTTATAATTTGTTTAAAACAAAAAGTGTTTTGGACTTTGTATGAATTACTGTTATTGTAAGATCATATAAATAGGAACAAAAACACATCAATTAAGTGAAAATAGGTAAAGTTTAGAAGAATTTAAAAAATCAAATTATCTAAATACCGGGGAAAGAAGAAAAAAGTCCATTTAGAATATATTCGAAAAATACCTATATGGTCTAAATACTCATATAGTCTGGTTCGTTAATATCAAAACGAGTATATACTCAAATGGTCCAACCATACGCGTATGGTCGGACCATATGAGTATACACATATGGTCATGACCATATGCATATGGTCCAAATACTCATATGGTCCGGAACACAGACATGATGAAATTTTATAAAATTATTGAAAATAGTAGATATATAGCTTTTTATGATCATATGTATCTTTGTATAACAAACATGTGAATTATTTCTTAATACTTCTGCAATCAATTTTTCATTTCTTAATATTTTCATCAAAAAAATACTTTTCAAGACTAGATCCAAAACAAGGAGAATAACTCAACATGAACTACAAACGTACATGATATGTTTCTGAATGTTTAAAATACATGGTGGCAAACAGAAGTTAATTTACAATAGATCTGACACAAATGCTGTTAAGTGACACAAATGCTGTTAAGTGACACAAATGCTGTTAAGTGAAGCCATTTAAGTATAAAATTAACAGGTGAACATATACCAAGTAAGGTATCCTTTTATCCAGTACTCATAATACATTGAAATTCAAGGAATAAATAAACAATACAGAAATAACAAAATAAGTATTATGATTACAATATTCAATTTTTTTTAACAAAGTAACAATAATATATTTTAATTCTTGACTTCACCAAGTCAGAGTGAGTCCTCTATTTGGTGTTGTGAAAGATAATGAAAAGTAATATGAACCTATGAATAATTAATATAGCAGTTTATAGATGTATTGGTTAACCAGGAAACTCAGTACATGTATATAACAAGAGGCTCTCAAGAGCCTGAATCGCTCACCTGCATTTCAGAGGAGAAGATTGTTAAATGTTAGCAAACTTGATGAACAAATTGTGCAAAATTGTCTTTAAAGGGCAATAACTCCTTAAGGGGTCAATTGACTATTTTGGTCATTTTAACTTTTTTGTAGATCTTACTTTGCTGAACATTATTGCTGCTTACAGTTTATATATATCTATAATAATATTCAAAATAATAACAAAAAACTGCAAAATTTTGTTAAAACTACCAATTCGGTGGCAGCAACCCAACAATGGGTTGTTCGATTCGTCTGAAAATTTCAGAGCTGATCGATCTTGACCAACTAAACAATTTTACCCCTGTCACATTTGCTCTAAAAGATTTAGTTTTTGAGATATAAGCCAAAAACTGCATTTGACCCTTTTGTTCTATTTTTAGCCATGGCGGCCATGTTTGTCGATGGATACAAACTTCAGATACAATTTATAAACAAGATACCCTAAGGAACATTTAGTTAAAGTTTGAAGGTAATTGGCCCAGTAGTTTCAGAGGTGAAGATTGTTAAATGTTAGCAAACTTGATGAACAAATTGTTTAAAATTGTCTTTAAAGGGCAATAACTCCTTAAGGGGTTAATTGACAATCATTGTCATATTAACTTTTTGTAGATCTTTCTTTGCTGAACATTATTGCTGCTTACAGTTTATATATATCTATAATAATATTCAAAATAATAACAAAAACTGCAAAATTTTGTTAAAACTACCAATTCGGTGGAAGCAACCCAACAATTGGTTGTTTGATTCGTCTGAAAATTTCAGAGCTGATAGATCTTGACCAACTGAACAATTTTACCCCATGTCAGATTTGCTCTAAAAGCTTTAGTTTTTGAGATATAAGCCAAAAACTGCATTTGACCCCTATGATCTATTTTTAGCCATGGCGGCCATGTTTGTCGATGGATCAAAACTTCGAATACAATTTATAAACTAGATACCCTAAGGAACATTTAGTTAAAGTTTGAAGGTATTTGGCCCAGTAGTTTCAGAGGAGAAGATTTTTGAAATAGTTTACGACGACAGACGACGACGGAAGCCAAGTGATGGCATAAGCTCACATGGGGCCCTTTGGGCCCCGGTGAGCTAAAAATGATGTATTATGTCTTATCAAATGCAAAAATAATAAATTTTCAATCAATAAGTTTGAATTTTTATTTTTAAAAACCATGTCATTCATTGTTTTGGATTGAATATAAATATATAGTATTTGTTTTACTTTTGCCAAATAATATTCTAGAAAATATCAAAAACTATACTTTTTTGCAAATGCATGTTATGGGTTAAACAAGTCAATAATGTAAAATGTAGGTCAAAGTGGCCTATTTTTAATAAATGGGAGTTTTTTCCATACTCCCCTAAATGTATCCTTAAACAAAGTTTAATAATTTAACCTTGCTTAAATTATGAAGACTGAACTCAGGTGAATATTGAATTTAACTAATGAAGCTAAAAAACTTTATTAAAGCCACTTAACCATGAAATACAGTTCATGTGATCATCATCTTATGACACATGGTCAGATGCATTTGCAAACCAAATTATATGCTGAAACAATGACTACGTTCCCAAGTCTGGAAGAATGAGAAAAAAATCCCCAAAAAATTCTGTACTATAGTAAATGTTGCACAATTATATATGTTTAAAATTGAGAATGGAAACGGGGAATGCATCAAATAGACAACAACCAGACCAAAGAGCAGAAAACAGCCAAAGGCCACCAATGGGTCTTAAACACAGCGAGAAATCCTGCACCCTGAGACGGGCTTCAGCTGGCCCTAAACAATAATGTATACTAGTTCAGCGAAAAATGGACGTCACACTTAAACTCCCAAACATATAAATAAACCAAAATTAAAAAAACATACAAGACTAACAAAGGCCAGAGGTTCCTGACTTGGGACAGGCATTGGCTTTCAGTGAACCCTGAGGTAAAGAAATCAGTTCTAAATTCTCCTCCTGAGGGGTATTACTCCTCCAAAAGGGATACCTTTGGGCTGTTTAGGATGTATACATATATAGCCATATCTTGTCAGAATGGGACTGATAGATCCAATGACCCATGTAGGGATATTGTCCTGGTCTCTGAACATTACAGAATCCATGTAAAAATCTACAAGTGGTGAGTTAGTGGCCTTTTAAAAGGCCAAATTTCTGCCCCTATCCAACATGCCCTTGTTTTCCAGTGGCAGTTCAAATTTTCCAGCCTTTATCCTGGTAGTCCCCATTTGTTTTCATCCTAACAATGCATGTCATGTAATGGCTTTAAACCATAAAAGGTGTTGGTTACATATAATAGGTACCAAATTCTTCCCTCTTGCCCACACAACATAACCATTCTAAAAGCTGGTTTTGCACATCTTGTAACCTGGTCAAAAACCTAAACAGAATATTCTTTTAAACACATGGATGCAAATGTTTCTGTAATGCTGACTTAAATTAACTACATATCTACAAAATATATTAAAAATACAAAATTTTTGGTGTAAGTTTCGCTCTGCAAAAACATTATGTATCAAAATGGCAGGATAAAGACATTAAGACAATAACAAAAAGACTAGCAGGTTTTTACTGCACTAACAAGTCTTTGTAAAGCTTCAATTGATCTGTAGGCAACAATGCCGTCACTATTGCACCAATTTTTTGGACCAAGATTTTCAGAATTGTCTTCCCTACTATAAATAATCTGACATTCAACAAACTTTTTGTGACTTGACAAGTTAATCTGTGCCAGTTCACATAAACTTTTATAACTTATAACACCTCCGCCAAGGGACAATAAAATTGCATGAGGTGCACACATATCCCATTTAAATGTACTATTTTTGGACAAAACATAAGCATCTGCAAGACCCTGAATGACACAGAGAAGCTTGTATCCTGCTCCGGCTGCATGATGAATGGTATAAACTTGACTGAATTTATCTTTGGTCTCTACTGTGTCACTAGCACTGGTCAGTAGAATCTGGTGTGAATTGATTATATGTTCTGGTGTATCTGTTACAGAAAACATTCTACATCCTTCTAGGTTCAGTCCCCACTGACAGGAGCTCAACCACCTAAAACATAAACACAGAAACTGACTAAATCAAAATTAGAGAGGCACCATGAGTGTATGAGCTGAGTTGTGATCTTTATGAATTTGTATATCAGGAACAGATTTTTTTATGTTACTGTTTATTTTGATATTGGTGAAAAAAGCCTGTAAAGTCTGCCGACAATCTATGTTATATTATGGAAAATATGTATTGTGATCTTGAATTTGACCTACTAAACTAAAGTCTACTGTGTCTTATTCTTTCCAAGTGGTATTCTCAAGCTAAGCTTGGTGAATGTTTGACATATTGTTCAAATGGTTATATCAGTAAACCAAAATTTTCCCCAAATATACAGGGTACATATGTACTTATAAATCATTTCCCATACAATCAACATTCTTATGCAAATATATGCCACACATACTTATAAAAACATTTAAAAAATACCTCCAATACCATACCTTCTCCTTTGTTTTATATTTGATTAGTTTTAAAATTTTTGGACATCAAATCGTTTTGTCTTTAGTTAGTACATATCCATTCTAAAGTTATTAAATGCACTTCAATATAACATTGGTTGTAGTGAAATACTATGATTTCCCAGTCCAATAAAAACTGATAATTTCACATGTGAAATCAATCCCTTTAATTTCACTCTTCTGAAGTCATACAATTGGTGTTCTCAAGACATTGTCACACATTGGTTCAAATCAAGTCAGAACAGGAATGGTAAAGTAAAAGTTCCTTGCATTTCATGTTTTAATTACACTAAAAGACATGAATCCAAGAATTCAAACATAAAACAATATTCAAATTGTGACTGAACAACAGTAATAATTCAATCACGCAGTACTTGCATTCATGAATTATGTGTTGCTCAGTCACTTATTGAATATTTTTCTATTTCTGAAGTCTTGGTTTACTTATTCTCTGATTAGCCTTTTTATAAAATTACCTTCCTGTCTTAGGGTCCTGGGAGGCAAATGGTTGGTTAATTATACCTCCTATAGGCAGACCTGTTTGTTTACTGTATACTCCAATTAATACACAGGCACACTGTAAACCATTCCTTACAAATCCTTGGTTATTTGGAATCCCAACTTCCCCTCCAATGTACTGGGCAGTCGAATCTAAAATAACAGGTTAAAATTGTTAATAACCATACATATTACATTATACTTTCCAATATTATGATTATTTTACCAATCCTATTAGATGTTATAAAAACCCGAATGAAATTCTTCTTTTATTATAACTAATTATCAACCAATTATATAACAAATAACAGTTGAATACTGTGGATTCATAAAAAATCATTAGTTGGATACCAATTTTCCTGGATTAATCCACATAAAGCAGCACCAGAAAAATAGCAAAGTTTTCCCTTATTTTGAAAATTGATGCCAACTAATATCAATGAATCCATAGTGAAAGAAGAATAAACCAAAAAGATTTTATCAGGCAATAAACTGTTGACACAGAGATATGTCTTGCCTGTATGAAATTTTGATAGTATAATGCAAAAAAAACTTTAACATATAAACTATGAAAAACTTTCCATTTTACATTAACTAAAATGTAATAAAAGCCGTTGTGCCATTCAAGCCTGTTGCCTCTAAAATATTTTTTCACGTTCAATCATTAATTGAAAAATCTGTAAAAGGTAAAAGTATAATGATGACTGTAAAAAGTGAGTCCATTTATCAGTAAAATGAAGACTTTTCTTTTGATGCTATTTCTTGATCTTGAAGATTAGCTTATGTCTTAGTTTCATAATAATCCATGAAGGTTTACAAATTTATAATGTCAAAAAAATTTAATCCTAGACTGTCGGTAAATGCTAACTTATAAAAACTAAGTCCATCTATCAGTAAAATACTGAAAAATTAAAGAAATATATTTTCAAAAATTTGCTATGGACATGATCACTTAACCATAAAAAAGCTTCTACCACAGTTTCATAAAATTCAATGAAGGTTTAACAAATTAATTGATGTGTAAGTTAACAAACTTTAACCCAAGACTGAATGAAGGTTTGAAAAAGTTATTGACGACTGAAAAACTTAACCTTAAGACTGTTTCTTAATGTTAACGCCACCACAAAAAATGATGGAATCTAGGGTGGCTATGGCTCACTTTCACAACATAAATGTTGCAGGCTTAATAGCAACCAGAGGCTGTCAGAGCTACAGCAAACCAGATTTTTTAACATTTATTTGTGTCCTGGCATTTTTCAATATCACAAGGACCAGAACTCCTGAATGGTGAAAGTGAAAATCGTCAATATTGAACTTGAACTCCATTTTGTCATCAGTAACAACATATTAAAATTTGAAAAGTTTTGGTTGAACGGTTCATGAGTTAAAGCACGGACACGACTGGAAAGACCATTTTTCAATCTTTCAAGAACCATAACTCCTGAACGGTGAAAGTGAAAATCGTCAATATTTAACTTGATCTCCATTTTGTCATCAGTAACAACATATTAAAATGTGAAAAGCTTTGGTTGAAGGGTTCATGAGTAAATGCACGGACACGGTTTGGCAGCCACCCGCCCCCCGTACATCCCCAAATCAATAACCGATTTTTCCTTCGGAAATCCGGTTAAAAACAAAATAGCAAAACTTAAAACTTAAAACTGCAGAGAAAATTTCTTTAACAGTCAATTAAAAATTACATAGTATTTAAGGAAAAAATAAAACCCTGCATTTGTCCTGTTTTACCCTTTGTTATATTTATAGTAGGGATGTCAACGAGTACTTGAGTATTGGAGTATCGCTCGGTAGTACCGAGTATCCAATACCAAAACGATGCTTGGCTAATCAGTTTCCTGTTAGAATATTGCTGTCACTTTATATAAAATTGATCTTCTTGAGAAGTTAAATAGGCATCACTGACTAATCATACTAGTAAATAAAATATATTTTGTTTCGAATGCTTGTGCTAAATTGTCCTTTAAAATGCCTCTGAAAATATGTGGGATATACCTAGGCTAACACTTTAAGCTTAACATGTCTTAGCCATTCCGTCACATCAGCGCAGTCAGAGCAAATATTTTTGTGTGCAAGACTATTATTTACAAAGTTGCAAAACTGACTGTCCAAAATAATAGTTGACAAGAAAATGTTTCCAAATAAAATAAATTTGTTGCATCCTCCTGTGACCCTCAGTGAATAATAAAACTTCTAATATTGACGCCTTTGTAAACATTAAATGTGTTTTCTTAACGATTAACAAATACTATTGTTTGATATGGTTTTCCTTGTTATAATTTTTAAATAGGTGTTCATTAAATTATATTGATTAGATTATTGTTTTTAAACTAACTAATACTTGTAGGTAATGAGCTATTACTTATTGTGTGTAATTCCTTGTCCCAGATACTTATGTAGATGTTTTTTCGTCCATTGAACAACAAACCACAGAAATAAAATACATGTTGACGATATATTCCCGAGCGAGTACTCGAGTATCGCTTGATAAAACCAATGAGTACTCTATTAGTAATTGTTCACCTAGATGACATCCCTAATTTATAGTAAGAGAGGTTATATTCATTGCTTGGCATCTTCATCAATATAATTTCAAATAGACCAGAAACAATGCTTTTGCTCATGAATTAATAAATCTTATTAAATTGGTTGCAATGAAATGCTGTGATTTCCCAGTCAATATAATTTCTTGTCATGCGATAGGTTTTTTCAGGATGTAGCCAATTACTTTACATTAAAATGAAACGAGACAACATAGAAAACATCATAGTTCTTTAAATTTTCAGTTCATTTACACAAAACATCGATGCAGTAAAAAAAAGAGATTCAAATATAAAAAAAAATTCATCTCCTGGCTGAACAACAGTGACAATTCATTTATTCTGTTGTTCGGTCATTTGATTTTTGGTTTAGTTATTCTGTAAATATCCCTTCTTTTCTATTCCTAAATAAACAACCTGGCAATGACAGAAACAAGTTTTTGATAAAGATTTTAACACATAAATTCTTACCTATTGGGTCAATCCATATTCCTATGTCTTCCTCCTTTATTTCCAAGTTTTTCATTTTATCTATTTTTTCCTCTGGACAATATGATACATCTTCATGCACAACTTTGGCCAACAAGTTTGCTGCCTGTTCATTCCCATTCAACACTTTACCTACAAAATTTTCAATTAAAACCATATTTAAAGTTATAAAAGATGATCAAGGTACATTGGCTCCATTCTCTTTTCTATGAATATTTCGGTTTAAAGTTTTTGGTTTAATAAAATATCTTTTAAATTTCATTATAGTCTCAATAGCTTTGTTTCCAATGGACATTTAGAAGAATAGAAGACACACATTCTAACGATCTTCCTTACAAACCCTCGGAAGGATGGCAATTTCATAACTTGTTCGCTATAGTGGCATTTCAGGTTTCAATAAACGTATTTCGTTACCACAAATTACTATAATTAAACCTTTTACTATATTCTTCCATAGATAAGTTTTATTTATGAAGAATGTTTGGTTTGTTCTTATGTTGTGCTGTAACACCACTGTCCCAGGTGAGGAGGTGGTTGCAAGCTCACAGACATGTTCTTAATGTGCCTGTTCCAAGTCAGGAGTCTGTAATTCAGTGGTTGTCATTGTTTCATTAATTATATTTTATAAATAAGGCTGTTAGTTTTCTTGTTTGAATTGTTTCATATTTTTCATGTTGGGGCCTTCTATAGGTCACATATACAGTGTGGTTTTTTCTCATTGTTGAAGACCGTACGGTGACCTATAATTGTTTTATCTTAGTCATTTGAACTCTGATGGGTAGTTGTACTTGTCTTATTGGCAATCATAAAATATCTCCTTTTTTATATGGAAACATAATAATGACCAATGAACAGATGCTAAATTCTAAAAAGAATATTTTCATAATATCACAAAATCTCTTGTAGGATTTACCATTGGTGACAACATTCACAACTCACAAAGTAGGTCAGCTGTTTCTGCTGGGGAAGACAGTATTTCTACGTTGATAGATTCCCCTAGTGCATTAGTAAATTTGTTACTCTCTTCTCCATAGATACTGTCTTTAATTCCTGGAAACTACAAATACAATTATTAATATTATGAGTTTTCATGTCTGTATCCATCCACTCCCCTTTTGAAAATGGTCAGGTAATTTTGGCATGCCATGAGTAAATGTTATCCAATCTGTTAGGCCTATTTATATAACACTCAAAATAATGACCAGAATTCAATGAGAAAAGTGACCTGTAAACATGGTGAAACAAGAAATGATTGTAAAAGGATGCTGTTACAAAGTCTCCCAAACGAAGCTCCCATAATTCGTAATTCCCAGGGTCGCCTGACATTGGGCAACATCCAGTGAAAATTGGTTTGGTCCAGTAAAGTTATATGCATTAGTGATGCCTGGGGACTAACCTTGTATATCATTCAAATCATCTTGGCATGACAAACCAGAATATATATGGTTTAGGGGTGGGGATCTCGACCATTTACAAGATACTAGAACATTGGGGAAGGGGAGGAACCCCTGGGGACTGGCCCTATACGTCATTCAAATGTTCATTACATGACGAACAGGAATATATATGGTTTAGGGGTGGGGATCTCAACCATTTACAAGATATTAGAACATTGGGGGTGGGGGGAACCCCTGGGGACTGAACGTATACGTCATTCAAATGTTCGAGACATGACAAATAGGAATATATATGGTTTAGGGGTGGGGATCTCAACCATTTACAAGATATTAGAACTTTCTCAAATGGCAGGGGGTCGGGATGACCCCTGGGCACTAACCCTGTTTATCATTCAAACCATCTTCGCATGACAAACCAGAATATATATGGTTTAAGGGTGGGGATCTTGACCACTTAGAAGATATTAGAACTTTCTTAAATGGTAGGGGGTGGGGGTGACCCCTGGGGACTAACCCTGTATTACATTTGATGTGCTTTATCATGACAAACCAGAATATATATGGTTTAGGGGTGGGGAATTCGACCATTTACAAGATATTAGAACTTTCTCAAATGGCAGGGGGTAGGGATGACCCCTGGGGACTAACCCTGTATATCATTCAAACCATCTTAGCATGACAAACCAGAATATATATGGTTTAGGGTGGGGATCTTGACCACTTACAAGATATTAGAACTTTCTTAAATGGCAGGGGGTGGGGGTGACCCGTGGGGACTAACACTGTATTTCATTTGATGTGCTTTATCATGACAAACCAGAATATATATAGTTTAGGGGTGGGGATCTCAACCATTTACAAGATATTAGAACTTTTTTAAATGACAGGGGGTGGGGGTGACCCCTGGGGACTAACCCTGTATTTCATTTGATGTGCTTTATCATTACAAACCAGAATATATATGGTTTAGGGGTGGGGATCTCGACCATTTACAAGATATTAGAACTTTCTCAAATAGCAGGGGGTCAGGATGACCCCTGGGGACTAACCCTGTATGTCATTCAAACCATCTTAGCATGACAAACCAGAATATATATGGTTTAGGGGTGGGGATCTTGACCACTTAGAAGATATTAGAACTTTCTTAAATGGCAGGGGGTGGGGTGACCCCTGGGGACTAACCCTGTATTACATTTGATGTGCTTTATCATGACAAACCAGAATATATATGGTTTAGGGGTGGGGATCTCGACCATTTACAAGATATTAGAACTTTCTCAAATGGCAGGGGGTCATGATGACCCCTGGGGACTAACCCTGTATATCATTCAAACCATCTTAGCATAACAAACCAAAATATATATGGTTTAGGGGTGGGGATCTTGACCACTTACAAGGTATTAGAACTTTCTTAAATGGCATGGGGGTGACCCCTGGGGACTAACCCTGTATTTCATTTAATGGGCTTTATCATTTAGAACATTTTCAATTAAAAAGATTGTGTCTATCACAAACGGTTTTCAATTTATAATCATTTGAAAATTTAAAAAAATAAAATCCCATAGGGTTCTATAGTAAAACCCTCTTTTCTTTTTGCCCCTCAAAGTACCCCTTTATAAACCCCATTGCACAAACAAAACCCTGATTGCACCACTAGACATGTTAGTCTAACATATTGTGAAACCCTAAGTTAATCTGACAAGCGGTTTTGGAGAACGGGTGCGGACAAGTTCAAATTTAAAAGCGGCGGAAGAAGAAGAATAATAATAATAATAATAATAAGAACTGAGCAAAAACAATAAGTCTTCCCAAACTTCGTTTGGGAGACTTAATAAAGAAAGGGGGGGACAAAGCAAGCCGTAGGCAATTTAGTATGATTATTAAATTCTATATGCTTTTCTCTTATACCTATAAATATATCACATTCTTCATTAATAAAACTGTCAAAAAAATAATATAACATATATTTTGCATTCAAAAAAGATCTTATATAGGCTGATTTGGAGTATAAGACAAAACTTTTCTAAAATAAATGGGGAATGTGTCCATGGGACACAGATGATGCCCCCGCTTGCATATAACATTATGAAGGGACAAAACTCAAGAACTGTAAAAGTTACACTACCCAAAGTTGTACTTGATCTGAGTTTTGTCGTAATAAGCATTGTGTATACATTTCATAACATTTAGTTGAGGCAAACTTAAGTTAGAGAAAGGAAACGAAAAGTTCAGCAATTTTTCCATTTGTAAATGGGCATTACTCTATATAGCTAGCACGGTAAAAGTGACACCCCCAAAATTCAAACTTGATCTGTGTTTTGTGGTAATAAGCATTGTGTATAAGTTTCATAACATTTGGTTGAGGCAAATTAAAGTTAGAAAAAGGAAACGAAAAATTCAGCAATTTTTCCATTTGTAAAGGGGCATAACTCTAGAACGGTAAAAGTGACGCCACCAAAATTCAAATTTGATCTTTGTTTTGTGGTAATAAGCATAGTGTATAAGTTTCATAACATTTGGTTGAGGCAAACTAAAATTAGAGAATGGAAGCCAATTTTTGGGACGTACAGACTACTTACGTACGTTTGGACGGACAGACGTACAAGGGTAAAACTTAATGCTACCTCCGATACGGCGGGGCCATAAAAAATATCTTCTTTCAGTCCAAAATTTTAAGCTATATATATTCTTTAAAGATAAGCAAATAAAAAGCTACATTACACGTTTTCCTTGAAGAAAACATGAGTTTCCTTGAAGAAAACATGAGGAGAGGTTTCCTCACACATAATTTGGGATAATTCTTAGTTAGTTCTTTTGTCGTAAAAATCTATGGCAAAGCCCATGACAAGTAATATCAAAACAGTTTTGATAGTTTTAAACTTGATTTGCTAATATCTCACCATCATTAAACATATATATAGAATTCAAATTCAGCAATTCTAACTTAACAGTACACTTATATTGGTTTGTTTTCCCCAAAAAAAACATTTCTAACTGCTTTGAATTCCCTTTAATCATGAGTCTTTCCTTCAAAGTGTTTCATGACTGACATTTTGTAGTTTCAGTTTAATATATTTACAAATGATCAATTCTCTTAAATTTCCAGCTTTACATTCGATGTGCAGACTTGTCTATTGTGGTAGATATATTAACATCAAGATGCCTATTTTTAGTTTTTTTTTTTTTTTATTATTTTGTTGGGTTGTTGTCTCATTGATACTTACCCAATTTATCATTTTATCCAAATAATCAATTGGTAAAAAATGTTTATTTAACTGCTTGATGAAGACTACAATAAGTCATAGTTAGTGGTGCAAACAAAAATCATAATTACTTACATGTGGGCTACCTGTATAAACTAAATATCAAGTCAGATAAAGACTTTAGGGTAAGATTGAAAAGTTTTATTTGAATAAGTTTTTGTTTAATATCATAAAAATCTTTTAGCTTTAGTGACTGAAAATATTCTTGCTTTACAGGCAAGACAGGGCTAATAGTTAAAATGGTTGAACTATTGAAAATATTAACAATCAGCAGAGTGATTATGCAACATCCCATGCATCATAAAATTATATATCAAAACGATCGTCTGGTTTCCTTTAAATTGTAAACATTTTAAAATTCCCAGTGGTAAAAAGTTGGTGTTGTCTTAATTCCATTCGATCATCAACAGGATTTACACTCGGTTGCTTCAAAAAATCATTATTTTTAAAACATACATTGTATTTGTGACAGTTTGATTGCAAAATTCGACAAAATGATGGCTTTTAATTTATAAAATTTTGATTGTCTCCAAAGTGAAACAGAAAAAGGGCATGGCGCCAAAAATTTCTACAAAAAGGGCAGTGTGCAGCGTCCTCCCAATATCTCTTTTAGGAAGCCCTTATTATAAAACAGGTACATGTATATGTATTATAGAAACTTAATATTATCAAAGATCCATGAAATGAGGTCATGATCAGATAAACCCTGTCTGACAGATGAGTCTACCTAGCAATACATCTAATTAAAATATGTTGGCATTACACGGTACTCACAATTACTGAAAAAAATCACATGATGACAAATTAATTAACTATTAAGTTTTAAAAAAGTAATTGAACCATGTAAATAAAGTCAAGGTTAAAGGACATACATGTATGTCAGATAAGGATTATCCAGTTCTTCTATCTTCTCAAAATTGTTACACTATGTTTTACAGTTTATTGTAAACAAGCATTCTGAGAGTATTGCATGGCAATACATAGTCCCCTACCAGTTAAAAATTCATTATACTGGAACAAATGCTAACTTGATCTATAACTTATCATGGTGTAAACTATATAACAAATAACAAGTCAATATCTTCAAGCATGACGAAAAAAAGTGTGAAAAACTGATTATTCAAGTGAATTTTCGAAGTCCGAGGACCATAACTTTGCATAAAATCATCAGACCGGAACAAAATTCGAAATTGATCTGTAACTTTTCATGATAAAACTATAAACAAATTTTCAAATCAATATCTTCAAGCTTGACGAAAAAAAGTGAGGAAAACTGATTTTTTGAGTGAATTTTCAAAGTCCAAGGACCATAACTCTGCACAAAATCATCAGACAAGAACAAAATTCCAACTGTAACTTGTCATGATAAAAATATATACCAATTATCAAATCAATATCTGCAAGCATTACGAAAAAATTGCAGAAAACTGATTATTTGAGTGAATTATCTAAGTCCGATGAACCATCAGACCGGAACAAAATTCGAACTTGATCTGTAACTGGTCATGATAAAACAATAAACTAAATATCAAATCAATATCTTCAAGCACGAAGAAAAAAAGTGTGGAAAACTGATTTCCCCGACAGACAGACAGACAGACAGACAGACAGACAGACAGAGACAGACAGACAGACAGACAGACAGACAGAGTGCAAACCTAAAGTCCCCTTTGACTTTGTCGGTAGGGGACTAAAAAAATATCATTACCCATGGGTCAATTCTAATTTTGTTTTAGTTTGAAATTCCATTTTGTAGTTACACATAATTCTTATATCTTATTAAGTTTACCTTCTGACTTAAGTCATGATAAACAATCTGCTGGACCAACACATCAGCCAAGGTTTTAAAGTCCTGTACAAATCGTTCATTTTTCTGTTCTCCAATCTTCTCCTGAACCAGAAGTTCTAATAAAGTGTGTTCTGATCTAATAATTCTGGCAACATTGGCTCCTTTCTCTCCCACATTGAGAAGATCTCTAATCAGATCTTTTACTTTCATTATCTATATAGAATAAAAGAGAATAAAAAATATATAAGATGACAATTTTACAGAACATTACGTCATACCATTAAACCAATTCGCAAGTCATCACAAACTAATTATAAGTGGTACTTTGAATTCGGCAACTGAAAGAAGGGATTTCAGTTTATTCTACAAATGTAGGTTTTTGTATTTTAAGGTTCATCAGAAGAAATAAGCAAATATGGCTGTGCTTACACCACAAATTTTACTCTGAGATATGACAAAACCTGCAAACCTGAAAAAGTTTTAAGGCTTGGCAGGAATAAGATAACTAAATGTTGAATGCATTTTATGTGGAAATTTCAAAATTAAAAACTTGAATTTGAGATTCCCTTTTTCTTTCTCATAGAAGGGGCCAAAATAAACTAATTTTGGATAAATGTTGGAGATGTACCCCTCTGTAATAATTGCAGTGAACTGTATTCATTGACATGGACAATTGAAGCACAACAGATTCTGCACAACAATAGGTGAATCAAACTGTGTAAATGAGTGGACAGTATCAAATGAAACTCATGTGTTTGTTCATTTTGGCAAATTCTGTTTCAAAGAAGAAACAGGAATCTCAAAATTCAGGTAAGGTTTTAATTTTCTGAAACATAAAATGCATTTAAAATTTAACTATCTAGTTTTTTTTTGCCATGCCTTAAAACTTTTCCAGGTGCACAGGTTTGTCTGTACTCGGAGTAAATTTTGTGGTGTAAACTGGGCCATATTTGTCAATTCCTTATAATAATAAAATGCTCCGCAGGGCGCAGCTTGATACGACCGCAGAGGTCGAACCCTGAACAGTTGGGGCAAGTATGGACACAACATTCAAGCTTGATACAGCTCTGAATTTGGATTGTGATTAAATATTTGACACAGTATAGGTTTCTGACACAGAATGAATGTGGTCTAAGAACTTAAAAATTTTAAATTGGACATTCACCTATTATGGTCCAATATCCAAAATCTAAATACATGGTTAGATTCAGCATATCAAAGAACCCCAAGAATTCAATTTTTGATGAAATCAAACAAAGTTTAATTTTGGACCCTTTTGACCTCAATGTGGACAAAGTTGATAACGGGGCCCAAAAATCTAAATACATGGTTAGATTCAGCATATCAAATAACCCCATATATTCAATTTTTGTTGAAATCAAACAAAGTTTAATTTTGGACCCCGATTTGGACCAACTTGAAAACTGGGCCCATAATCAAAAATCTAAATACATGTTTAGATTCAGCATATCAAAGAACACTAAAAATTCAATTTTTGTTAAAATCAAACTAAGTTTAATTTTGGACCCTTTGGACCTTAATGTAGACCAATTTGAAAACGGAACCAAAAATTAAGAATCTAAATACTCGGTTAGATTTGGCATATCAAAGAACCCCAATAATTCAATTTTTGATGAAATCAAACAAAGTTAAATTTTGGACCCTTTGGACCTCAATGTGGACCAATTTAAAAACGGGGCCCAAAATCCAAAAACTTAATACACGGTTATATTCAGCATATTAAAGAACCCCAAGAATTCAAGAATAAAACCCCATTGAAATTGATCAAGAAATAAGCAATTTATAAGAAGTATCTTCTTTTGCACAATACTGTGCAATTGAATATTTCTTGCTATTGCGCAATACTGTACAATTGACAATTTCTTGCTATTGCGCAATATTGTGCTATTGGATATTTCTTGCTATTGGGCAATACTGTGCAATTGAAGATTTCTTGCTATTGCGCAATACTGTGCAATTGAAGATTTCTTGCTATTGTGCAATACTGTGCAATTGAAAATTTCTTGCTATTGCACAATACTTATTATATAAAAATTTACACATCCTGTTTGGTGTGTATCTCCTACCATATCATTATTATTTGCTTTTAAATATAAATCAGAAATAACCAACTTAAAATGGAAAATTTTAAAAGAAAAAAAAAGGAAAAAAAGAAAAAAAAAGAAAAAAAAAAAAAATCCCCCCCCCAAATTTTTTGAACCCCCTTATGATTCATCACCCCCAAACTCAATCCCAGCCTTCCCTTTGTGGTATGGTACCTTGCAGTACAATTTCAGAGAGATCCACACACTTGAACACAAGTTATTGTCTTGAAACTAGAAAAATGCTTATTTTTGGCCCCCAATTCCTAAACATTTCAGGCAATTACCCCTGAACTCAATTCCAGCTTTCCCTTTGTGATATGAAACCTTGTAGTACAATTTCAGAAATATCCAAACACTTACACACAAGTTATTGTCATGAAACTAGAAAAATGCTTGTTTTTTGCCCCTTTTTTGGCCCCTAATTCCTAAAATTTTGAGGCAAATACCCCCAAAATCAATCCCAGCCTTCCCTTTGTGATATGGAACCTTGTGGTACAATGTCAGAGAGATCCATACACTTACACACAAGTTATTGTCTGAAAGTTACAAAATGCTTATTTTTGGCCCCTTTTTGGCCCCTAATTCCTTAACTGTTGGTACCATAACCCCCAAAATCAATCCCAACCTTCCTTTCGTGGTATTGAACCTTATGGTAAAATTTCATGGAGATCCATTCACTTAAACTAAAGTTAGAGTGCGAAAACCAATGTGTCTTCGGACGACGCCGGACGACGCCAACGTCATACCAATATACTATTTATTATATTTATAATATTTTTAATTTTTGCGGTCGTATAAAAACCTCAAGATGAATTTGTTAATTCCAGGTACAGTGTATAGTGTTTTTTTATTAATGGTGGTGAAACTATTTTACAAGAAAAAAATGTTCTACATACAATCATTGTATGGTAATCCTATATTAGACTTTCGAATTAATGTATTCTCTCATACATTTCCTACATGCAGTTACAATGCTTATGTTTTAACTTCACAGTAAGAGTTGATTGTTCAATGAAGTCATTTAAGCTGAGTCACGGATTTACCTTGGGTTAACCAGTGTAAACTTGAAATTGGTCTATAAAGGATCTAAATCAATGATTGATTGATTAATTTGTGTTTTACGTAACTTTCAGCACTATTTGCTATTTTTGAGGTGGTCAGTTTTTAATGGTGAAGGAAGACAGTGTACCCAGAGAGAACCATGACCCTAGGTAGGAAAAATGAAAATCCCTGGCAATTCAGATTGGGATCAAACTCACCTGCCACATGCAGGATTCGAACTCACAAGCTCAATGTTTACAGGCTAGTGATACAGTAGTTGGACTACTTAGACCACTCTGCCACCGAGGCCCCTGGATGTAAATTAGATCTTGTCCAAATAGTTATGTTTTGTACAGCTTTTTGATAATTTTTATGAAGGCATAACAGAGTATGATATATTTGATTTGATTTAATTTTTGGTGTTTTAACGCCACTTTTAAGCACCGCTTTTGGGCTATTTCGTGGCAGCCAGTTTTTATTGGTGGAGGAAGCCGGAGTGCCCGGAGAAAACCACCGACCTTCGATAGGAAAACTGACAATCCTAGTCAATTAAGATTGGAGTCGAGTGCACCCACACGAGCATGGTTCGGACTCACAACCTCAGTGTTGACTGGCTAGTGATTACAGTAGTAACTACTTAGACAACTCGGCCACCGAGGCCCCCTGATATATTTGAGCCACCAAGACTTTTTTTATTCCTTCAGACTTAATAAAATTTGATGCTCTGACGTAAACTGAGCAACATTCTAAATGTGCAATATCAGCATACTAATATCTGCTTTAGACTCTTTATGAATGCAAAATTATGCTGTCAATAACTTATTTTTTTGTTTTTAAAAAGCAAATTTTCGTAATAACAGATGTTGACTTGACATTTGGTAAAACACAAACAAGAGATGGATATGTAAAATCCCTGAGTTTCAAAAGTTCTTTCCACATTATTTCTTCAAGAAAATATTTGAAATGAACGTAGGATAAAGGAATCCATGATATTTTTAGCCTTTTGTAAGAATTCGGATGCAGAGTTAAATCTCACACCTGCGGACATTTCTAAATTTATAAGATGCAAACCAGTGAAATTTTAGAAAACAAATTTAAATAGACTAATCAATAATTTACCTGTCACCTGAACAGGCAATTTTCTGCAGTTCGTGATTTCGGTACTTTCCCTTTCAGTAAAAATATCTTTCTACTGTTTCCTTGTTTTTTTAGAGTGTTCATCAGAACATTTTTCGGCAAATAAATTTGTTACTCAATGAATATTGCATTTAGATAATGTTTCATCCATTTATTGCATAATATTTCTTTCCAAATTGCTTGTCAAACATTGTTTGTTTTTGAAAATTTTTCTTCGTCCACCATTGAAATTTTATACTAATCACGGATCGGAGGCAGATCAACTATGACCAAAATCTGTATTCTTACGAAGATGACTTAACAGTCACACAAATGGAACAGCTGACAGAAGAATAATGATCCAAAAAGTGAAAAATACTCTTTCCACACGTTTTAACAGACATTTGGTTACATGTCCTTTAATTAAATGTATATTTGTTTTTATTGGTATTAATATTGATTTTGTTATCAGTAAATTAAAATCAAACTAAACATTATTGTTATATACATATGCACATTCATAGCTGTCAGTAACTGCGGGTACTCTCAGATCTGTATTTAATGTCTTTTTGTTGTTGGGATGTACAAGTACCCGGCCACGTCCTCTCTGTGTTTTTGTTAGATGTATTTCTTTTTGTATCCATCTGATGAGTTAAGCCTTTTTCAACTGATTTTTATAGTTCGTTCTTATGTTGTACCATTACAACACTGTCCCAGATTAGGGGAAGGGTTGGGATCCCGCTAACATGTTACCCCACACACATTCTGTGTGTATGTGCCTGTCCCAAGTCAGGAGCCTGTAATTCAGTGGTTGTCGTTTGTTGATGTGTTACATATTTGTTTTTCGTTCATTTTTTTGTACATAAATTAGGCCGTTAGTTTTCTAGTTCGAATTGTTTAACATTTGTCATTTCAGGGTCTTTTATAGCTGACTATGCGGTATGGGTTTTGCTCATTGTTGAAGGCCGTACGGTGACCTATAGTTGTTAATTTCTGTGTCATTTGGTCTCTTGTGAAGAGTTGTCTCATTGGCAATCATACCACATCTTCTTTTTTATATTCCATGTAAATGCATTGTTTCAATTTATTGATTTAAGCTCCTGAAATTTGTTAAATTTATATATATATTTGATGAGAAACAATGAATTTCACAAACAGAACAGTTTTCTTCATTGAATAATAAGTTTTTATATCTTTTCTTTTTAATTTACAAACTTCTTTGATATTGATAGATATTTAGATATTTAATGACAAATAAAGACATAAATTGAGACAACTGTTAGTTGGGGAAATAGTTTAGACTTGATATTTTGGCCAATCACAAGCTAGAACATAAGGACTGCATGACTACCATGTAATACTATTATATTGGAAGCCATGATATTTAGGTGTATCATAAGCCAAAGATCAAGACTATGTGACTACCATGTACTTAAGTTACAATGAAGACACCCTGTACCACAATGTAGAAGCCCAAATTTGGGTTATACCATTAGGTAAAAGTGTTTACCGTAACATTATATATAGTTTACCGTAAAAAAGGAAAATTCCACAGGATTTTTAGCTGAAAGGATCCCCCAGATACCGATAACTATATTATCCGGCGGTCACCACTATCCACCAGATAACTCTTATCCGCCGGATACCGGATCTATATAAATAGGGTGCAACTATTAATCATAATTCTGCCTCTGAGGAAGGTCTGTGAAAGACCGTAACCGGTCAGGCTATGGATCATCACCACTGGTGCTGTTATGTGTTTTGGCATATACTGTTTTTTTTTTGTTTTTTTTTCTGAGACAACTGCTACTTGACAATGCTTGAGATGCATTACTTTTAATACATGCATGTATAATCAAATATGAAAATTATTCATGTATATATTGATATATTCATATCTGAATTCGTCATGAATAGATATTATGACAGATCTGCCATCAACAGGTGTCCAATGTAACTGATAATTTTATATTTAAGTCTTTAACTTTGATCTAGTAAGCATGTCTCCTACACTTTTATGTTTGCTATACACAAATATTAGTGCAACATTGAATACTTGTACACATTCTTCCTCAAACTGCAATAAATGCCAGTGTTTCATGATACGTTTTTTTTATTCTACATATATATATATGGGTTATACATGTATTTAGTTATTAAAAATTAATAAAAGATTGTTGTATTTTGTTTGGGCCATTAAAATTCTATTTGAGCTACCAAAATTTGAGTGTCTGAAAAAAAGGTTGCCCAATTTTTTTCATTCGGACCACCAGGGTAAAAAAAAAAAACGTTTCGAGCACTGCCATTTATAAAATATTGTCTCAATATACACATTATCAGTCAGGGGACTTATTGAAATAAGTGATTTTTAAATCACTTATTTAAGTAGCAAATTCGAAGTTTTGTCACAAATTGTGATTTTGTAGTTTTACCAAAATTTTAAACGCATAGGTTTAGATAATATCTTTTCATTAGTAAAATTGAAACTAGAGGCTCTAAAGAGCCTGTGTCGCTCACCTTGGTCTATGTGCATATTAAACAATGGACACAGATGGATTCATGACAAAATTGTGTTTTGGTGATGGTGATGTGTTTGTAGATCTTACTTTACTGAACATTCTTGCTCCTTACTATTATCTCTACCTATAATGAACTTTGCCCAGTAGTTACAGTGGAAAATATTTTGAAAAAAAATTTACAAAAATTTACAAAATTTATGAAAATTGTAAAAAATTGACTATAAAGGGCAATAACTCCTTAAGGGGTCAATTGACAATTTTGGTCATGTTGACTTATTTGTAGATCTAACTTTGCTGTACATTATTGCTGTTTACAGTTTATCTCTATCTATAATAATATTCAAGATAATAACCAAAAGCTGCAAAATTTTCTTAAAATTACCAATTCAGGGGCAGTAACCCAACAACATGTTGCCTGATTGGTCTGAAAATTTCAGGGCTGATAGATCTTGACCTAATGAACAATTTTATACCATCAGATTTGCTCTAAATGCTTTGGTTTCAGAGATATGAGCCAAAAACTGCATTTTACCCTATGTATTATTTTTTTGCCATGTCGGCCATCTTGGTTTGCGGGCAGGGTCATCGGACATATTTTTTAAACTAGATACCCTAATGATGATTGTGGACAATTTTGGTTAAATTTGTCTTAGTAGTTTCAGAGGAGAAGATTTTTGTAAAAGATTACAAAAATTTACGAAAAATGGTTAAAAATTGACTATAAAGGGCAATAACTCCTTAAGGGGTCAACTGACCATTTTGGTCAAGTTGACTTATTTGTAGATCATACTTTGCTGAACATTATTGCTGTTTACAGTTTATCTCTATCTATAATAATATTCAAGATAATAACCAAAAACGGCAAAATTTCCTTAAAATTACCAATTCAGGGGCAGCAACCCAACAACGGGTTGTCCGATTCATCTGAAAATTTCTGGGCAGATAGATCTTGACCTGATAAACAATTTTAATCCATGTCAGATTTGCTCTAAATGCTTTGGTTTCAGAGATATAAGCCAAAATCTACATTTTACCCCTATGTTCTATTTTTAGCCATGGCGGCCATCTTGGTTGGTTGGCAGGGTCATCGGACACATTTTTTAAACTTGATACCCCAATGATAATTGTGGCCAAGTTTGGTCAAATTTGGCCCAGTAGTTTCAGAGGAGAAGACTTTTGTAAAAGTTTACGGACGACGGACGCAAAGTGATGAGAAAAGCTCACTTGACCTTTCAGGTCAGGTGAGCTAAAAAAATGAACTTTTTGCTTCTTTTAAGCAGCAAGGTTTATGCCTTTGATGCAATCATTTAGCTGCAAATTCTATTTTAGTTGAAAAAATGCTATAAAAGTGGCTTTACATAATGAACTGATACTTTCTTAACAGATTTTTCCCAGCAGTGTGAGTATTTTTCCTGTAAAATTCAAGGTTTCATCTTATAGATTATGTAATAAAATTCTAGTGTTCGCGATCAAAATTTCACTGTTCGGGGTGTTGAAATTAGTGGGGGTTATTACAATAATGATACTTAAAGAAGTGATTTTTTGTAAGGAAATTGAGGTATGATACTTAAACAAGTGATTTTTATGACATTATCCTAGATTTAGTACAAGGTCATCACCTGACATGACCCGGTCATCCAATCAACACAGATGTTGGTTCTGATAATTTTAGCAACATAATTAGTCCCTGGATCATTAGTATTCTATATTTAAAGCTACAATAAAATTAAATCACTTAGTCTAGTGATTAATTTGTACTAGGTGATTATTAAAGAAAGACAACTCTTACTTCCAACCTTTTTGGACATAATGTTACTTGAATCAGTGATTTAGAAAATCACTCATTTAAGTAAGTCCCCTGACTGATTATATAACCCTGAATAACCTCCATTTAAGGTTTATGACCCCTTCTGTAGCCATGTGTATTATGAAATTTTCAAAGTGCCATTATATCAAAACAGCAAAGATAATGATTTATAGAGATGTGCCAATTAGTACATATACCAAAGGGAAACTTCGTTCAAAGCATTATTATTTATTGTTTTATTGCATTTAAAAGAAAGTGGGGTTTTTGTGGCAAATAAAGCCAAGATTTTTGCAGAAAATCCACAGACTTTAATACAAAGATTTTCGTTATAAAATTCTAAACAAAGATTACTCACTTGTTTGTCCATGATATGCTAGTGTATATTTTTTACAAAAAGTCCTGAACAACCTGAACATTCCAAAAAGCCTCGTGCTGAGTCACTAAAGTCAAGTGCATCTAGAACTTAAGGCGGTAGGTCTTTTCACCACCGAACACCCCAAAAATTATTTTTTTTTAACTCTTATTGTTATAAATGTGACCTAAATATAATATTTAAGTTATTAATTCAACAAATAATAAGGTTAAGAGAACAAATATCTACATCGAACAGAAAAGGAGAGTCTATAACACGACAACTCTGCAAACCACCACTGGACACCTCAAATAATTTTTTTTCTTCTTTTATAAAATAGTTGTACCAATAACAAGAAAAGAGACATGAACAAATGTTCAATATTTCGGGTATATAACTAATATCCTTCATCAGTTATTGATGTCAAATGATTCTTATACACACACAATGTAATCCGGAAAAATAGTGATGAATCCGGAGACGTTTTTCTTTATATCAGTCAGGGGTACTACTTGTACAAGTAATTTTTATTTACTTGAAGAAGTAATTATAATTTACTTATATAAGTAAATTTGTAGGATACTTATACAAGTGTATTTTATTTACTTGTATAAGTAAATTATTTTTTGGCCTAGTTATGTCCCTTAGACATTCAGATTTTTTTACTTATACAAGTAAAAAAGTCATCCTATCTTCTTTTCTTGAATTCTTAGAACTTCTTTGCTCTAACAGAATTTTGAATTGTCTGTCCTTTGCAGATGTCTTTACTATTCATTTAAGTGTAATTTCATGGACAATGAAAATCTCATAGTCTGTTATCTTTAGAACACTGCTCATTTACAAGCCCCCAAGGAGCAATTTTTGAAGGCCTTGCGCACATACTTAAGATCTTTGCTCAATCAGTTTCTTTGTTGAATTAATGAGATGAAACATTGAACTCTTATCAAAAATTATGAGCTAACCTGAGAAAAATTGTTAAAGGCATGATTTTACATCTCAAACTTGAGAATTTTTGTGGGATTGTAAAAAAAAATTACTTATTATACAAGTAAATTTTTTAGAAAATTAAGGGGAGATTATTCAAACAATATAATTAACTTGTATAAGTATATTTTATTTACTTCTTCAAGTAAATAAAGATTACTTGTACAAGTAGTACCCCTGACTGTATATGGATTATATTGATAATCGACTTTAACAGAAAAATGATGCATATAAACATCTAAAAAATTGTTAAATTAGACGTAATTTAATTGATTTTACCGTTTAATTGTATTAAATCACTGATTTTCTCAGTGGTTGATGATTTTTTTGGGTGTTCGGCGGTGTTCGGTGGTGTTCGGTGGTGAAAAGACCCACCCAACTTAAGGTGCACTTGCATTAGTCCGTTACAATGTACTTATTATTTGTTTTAACCAATATCTTAATTAATAAACTTGTTTTAAGGAAATCATTGCTAGCGCTGCATGCAAAAATTCTCTATATATTACAGTACAAGGGGAATGGTTGTGGCTTTTCTATAATATTTCCATGAGTTTAGCATTGAAACTGAGACTACTATAATAGTCTCAGACTGAAACAACAAAAGGGTACATAATCCTTAACAAGACAAAATTTCATACTATTCATCTATGAAATATTGTCTATATATGGACAAAATTTCATATGGAAATTTGTCCTTCTCTGGACACTATTTCATAGATGGGGACAAAATTTCATGATACAAAGTCATGAAATATCGTCTTGGGGGACCATATTTTGCTTTACACAAGCACAGGAATAGAAATGGATGTCAAGATGAAAGGCAAGACTTCCATTGAACCTCCCTTACCTGCATATTTTGCTTATTCCGTCAACCAGGGAGGCTCAGATGGAAGTCTTTCCAGATCAAGGATATGAATTTTATGATTGAACATAAAATTACTTAGCAAGATGCAACATTTTTATCCATTTTAATGCAGATAAATACGAAATAAATTGTCATACATTAATGGCTGAGTTTATGCTGATATATTTTAGTTAATGTTTGACAGGACAAGCTCTTTGTATACAGTGGCTTTCAAAATATCTTTTTTATCACCTACAAATTATTCTTATTCAGGAAACAACTGAGAAATACGTCATCATTCTTCGTGTTCCCTTACCCAGAATGCAATGTAGCAAATTTCCAAATATAATAATGACATGATCCAACTAGTTTGGCTTGAATCATGTTCAATCTAAAAATTCACAGGCCATCAATCAAAAATAGACATATCTAAACGAGCTTGATTGTCATCTTATTTTAATTCACAAAAATTTTTACTGCTGGTTTCGAAATATCTAGTTATATAGTCGATTATATGCATATGTATTGAAGAACAATGTCATAAACCGGAAGAACGTCAAGTTGGACATTTGATCAGTTGCTGTAGTGAAATTCGTTGACTAGCTATTTATTTCTGGAGTAACACATTGTTATGGACCTTATTTAAGTATATAGACTTGTAAGTTGTTAACACGGTAGACTAATATTCCGCTAATATTGGGCGTTCTCGGACGACATCTTGCGAGGAATATTCGTGGCAAGTGGAGATAACTGAAGAGTTCTTGATATGGTTTGATTTTTTTAAATAATCTATTATGCCTAAAAAACATCCAGATGATCACTACTTTGATGAATACGATGCAAGAGCATACAGGCATCTAGTACACGACGAACATGTAGCGCATGGGCAAAGTCAGAAAAGAGATAAAAAAAGGAAACTGAAGAAACAGAAATCTCACAAGAAATCCAAAGACAAACAAGAAAGTAATCCCGAAGTTAAAAATGTAAATAAATCTATTGTTGCATATGATGACATAAGTTCAGATTCAGATATTCAAGCACCTGCGTCCCCTATTGAACCTAGTCGGACTGTTGTGAGAGAAACTAAACAAGAAATATCTCCAGGAATTCCGAATAGATCATACCACAAAGGACGTAGTGACTCTCCAATTATAGTTGAAAATAATTCACCACCACCATCGTATAACAATAGCAGCTCTCGTAAACTGAAAAAAAGGCATCATTCTCCAGAACCTTATCCAAAAGGATATGGACCACCAAAAGCTTACACAGAAGTTCTTAAACCTAAAGCATATGCTGAACCACCTAAAGCATACAGTCAGTCTTTTAGAGGATATAGTCCTGAGAGAAAAAGATACAGATCAAGATCACCAAGTCCATATGGGAGGAAGAAATCACGGTAAGGAATGAATATTTTGAAAAAGCCTGGTGAACATATTTTATAAGTTTTAAACTACATGTTTTAGATACAGTACAATGTATATATATATATAAATAAAGAAATATGTTATGATTGCCAATGAGATAATTACCCAACATGATGTTGATGTTAGCAATTAGAAGTCACTGTGCAGCCTTTAACATTGAGAAAAACCCATGTATATCTTATAGTCAGCAATGAAAGGCTCCAACAATTGAGCACGAAAAATGAGAAACAATTCAAAAGAGGGGACAGTCTAGTGCATAACAACAATTCTATTTACAAAAAACTAATATGATATGAACCAACGACAACTGAATAACAGGCTCCTTTTTGGTCAATAGCAGAGTTTGTTGTCGTCATGTTTGAGATAGACAAATCGCAATTTTGAGAATATTTTTAGGCATGGCATAAAATAGTTTAAGATCAACAATCAAACATACATGTAGGGTTGGTTTGTCTCTTTAAGTAGTATTTCTCCAGCTGACCTCTGGTATTTTCACCACTCGAGAACACTAAAAGATTAGCGAGAACATTACTTTTTTATTGCATACATGTACATTGTATGCCTAAATTCACATAAAAAACTTTAAAAACGGCAAAAATGCTGGAAAGGGAATTACCGCAAATTTTATGCACACTGGGTTCAGTACTCAAAACTCATTTCTTGACCTTGGTGGTCTAAATGAAAAAATTTGGGCCACCACTCTTTTTAGAGACTCAAATTTTGGTAGCCCAGATAGAATTTAAATGGCGCGAACAAGCAAAAAAGCTTTTATTATAATTCTTATTTAATGGTAGGGAATTTCGAAGTGCCTTAAACATGTAAAAAGTGTCATCCAAATTAGGAAAAAAAATTATATAGACACTGTGCACTGACATTATACTTACATCCATATTACGCATTGATTTATTTTACAACACATTTTATTTATAAATACATGTACATGTAAGATTATAACAGTAATAGATTAACTCTGAATTTTAATAATTTCATTTTCATTGTATTATTTTTTATTCTCTTTCTGTTCTACATAACATCATGACACACAGTATCCTATAGCAACATCAACAATAAACAATACATGTACATGAATATGACGTCACATACCTGTTACTATTTTCCTATACTTCAGAAAAAGGTCCTGAAGGTGCCTATCTAATCGGCGAAACATGTTGACAAAAAAAAGTTGCAATGTACTTCAAAGTGTTGTTGTTAATTTAGTGGTATTTAATTCTTTTTTCTTTTTTTTTCTTCTCAAGATTCAAATAATTCCTACCTGAAGCACCCACGGTGGGATATTTTTTCTCAAATAATTTAGGTGTGTTTCCTGAAGCCTGACCGATCCTAATTTTCTCTGCTGGCTTTTAACTAGTATGCTCGCAGGGTTGATGAAATGCAACCATAAACCTGAAATACAAACATTTATGACAGTTTCACATTCAAAAACATTGGGATGACGGTTCAAAACACTTCATGATTGAAGAAAAAAAATTATTAAAAAAAAAAATCCTGAACTACACTTTGTACAGTGTACAATGTACCCACTCTCTATTTTTTGGCCATGCAACTGGAAACACACCTACTTTTATTTTTTGGGCCTTGCTGTTTAGGCCTCATTGGAGGGGTGACACAGGGTGCTTATTTCCCAATTTCTGTTTTTTTTTGTAATTTTTCCCCACTTCCTACCTTTTTCCTTCTTTTTCCCGGATCCCATTTTTATACGACCGCAAAAAAATTTTTGTGGTCGTATATTGGTATGGCGTTGGCATCGTCGTTGTCGTCAGAAGACACATTAGTTTTCGCACTCTAACTTTAGTTTAAGTGAATGGATCTCAATGAAATTTTACCATAAGGTTCAATACCACAAAAGGAAGGTGGGGATTGATTTTGGGGGTAATGGTACCAACAGTTAAGGAATTAGGGGCCAAAAAGGGGCCAAAAATAAGCTTTTTTGTAACTTCCAGACATAACTTGTGTGTAAGTGTATGGATCTCTCTGACATTGTACATGTACCACAAGGTTCCATATCACAAAGGGAATGCTGGGATTGATTTTGGGGGTAATTGCCTCCAAATTTTAGGAATTAGGGGCCAAAAAGGGGCAAAAAACAAGCATTTTTCTTGTTTCATGACAATAACTTGTGTGTAAGTGTATGGATCTCTCTGACATTGTATCACAAGGTTCCATAACACAAAGGGAATGCTGGGATTGAGTTTGGGGGTAATTGCCTTCAAATTTTAGGAATTAGGGGCCAAAAAGGGGCAAAAAACAAGCATTTTTCTAGTTTCATGACAATAACTTGTGTGTAAGTGTATGGATCTTTATGAAATTGTACAACAAGGTTCCATATCACAAAGGGAAAGCTGGAATTGAGTTTGGGGGTAATTGCCCAAAAAGTTTAGGAAAAAGGGGCCAAAAATAAGCATTTTTATACGCCCGTTTACGGGACGTATTATGGTATACCGTTGTAGTCCGTCTGTCTGTCCGTTCGTCCGTCGTCAACATGTTGGACATTAACTCAAAAACACTTTAACCAATTTGCATAAAACCTTGGTGAATTGTTTATATCTATTGACGTGAGCTCCCTTTCGTTTTTTATAAATTTTAGATTTTACGTTTCCGAGTTATGGGGTTTTATTCATTAAAAAATGGGGGATTTTCCAGTTTTCAGACAATAACTCAAGAATGCTTTCATCAACTTGCAAGAAATTTTGGTTGATTGTTTATATCTATTGACATGAGCTCCCTTTGGATTTTTATAAATTTTAGATTTTACGTATCGAGTTATGGGGTTTTATTCATAAAAAAGGAGATTTTCCAGTTTTCGGACAATAACTCAAAAATGCTTTCAACAGTTCTCATGAAACTTTGATGAATTGTTGATATCTATTGATGTAAGCTCCCTTTAGAAATTTATAAATTTTAGATTTTACATTTCCGAATTATGGGGTTTATTCATTAAAAAAGGGGGGATTTTCCATTTTTCAGACAATTACTCAAAAATGCTTTCAGCAATACGTATGAAACTTTGGTGAACTGTTTATATCTATTGATTTTAGCTCCCTTTAGAATTTTATAAATTTTATTTGTTTATAGTCTGACAACAGATTTACTAAGTATTGCGCAACAGCACAGTGTATTGCACAACAGCAAGAAATCTTTAATTGAATATAAATTCGATTCATATAACCAACTTCAAGTTCTTTGACTACATTTATTCAGAAACCTATAATACATGTATGTCAAATATTTAATTACAATCCAAATTCAGACCTGTATCAAGCTTGAATATTGTGTCCATTTTTGCCCCAACTGTTCAGAGTTAGACCTCTGTGGGCGTATCCAGCTGTGCTCAGCGAAGCAGTTTGTTCTAGTTTCCAGACAATAACTTGTGTTCAAGTGTATGGATCTCTCTGAAATTGTACTGCAAGGTACCATATATATATACCACAAAGAGAAGGCTGGGATTGATTTTGGGGGTAATTCCCTCAAAATTTTAGTAATTAGGGGCCATAAAAGGGCAAAAAAACAAGCATTTTTCTAGTTTCAGGACAATAACTTGTGTGTAAGTCTATGGATCTTTATGAAATTGTACTGCAAGGTTCCATATCACAAAGGGAAAGCTTGGTTTAGGTTTAGGGGTAATTGCTCTAAACGTTTAGGAATTTGGGGCCAAAGGGGCCAAAAAACAAGCATTTTTCTAGTTTCCAGACAATAACTTGTGTTCAAGTGTATGGATCTCTCTGAAATTGTACTGCAAGGTACCATACCACAAAGGGAAGGCTAGGATTGAGTTTGGGGGTGATGAATCATAAGGGGGTTCAAAAAATTTAGGGGGGGATTTTTTTTTCCTTTTTTTTCTTTAAAATTTTCCATTTTAAA